AAGGTGATACCTTCGCAGAAAATTCACGCTCATGGTATATATTTCAAGGCGATAGAAAGACAACAGGGACTGTCTAAAAAAGGTGGCCTCTGGGTTGAAACGTAGAACGGTGATATATCCACGTGGACTACAGAGGTTCAGGTGTCGCTTTGTGACACATGGAGAGGGGAAACGGGTTTGAATTTGCCGTAGAGATTGAAAATAAAACATGACCACATGCTGATGAGTGTAAACAAGAATTTATTTCATATACTGAAGTAGAAAACTTTTACTTCATATACCGTATATTTCGTATGCGTAGGTAGAACAGACGCCAAGTGACCCAAATTAGACTTACTTCAGCAAGGCTTATACACTTCCTCGACATTAATTGTTTTGAGATAGCGGTGGTTGTATGAAACTGATAAAAACGATTGCAATGAACAAAAACCCATGGTAAAATAATGATTCTACCATGGCTACGTGAAATGCTCGAATTTGATTGGTCAATCAATAAAATCAGACGGTATCAATTTCTATTGAAAATGCGTCTGATTTCACGGCGCTTCACTGCGCACGTATACAACACAGCCGCACTACTTCAGCTTGGCCACCAACATGACTAATATCAACACAACAGACGTGATGGAAATGCTGATGAAACATTTATTAAAATTCGAAAAATACAATTATACGATTTCTCCTCCACAATTATTAGGGAACCTCACTATCATAATTATTTTTTTCTTCAATTATAAACATATTTAAACTCAATTACAATACACAGCCCCAAACATAAACAAACAATATCTAACATGTGCTGAAGGGGTCGTTGTCGGCACAGGTACTACAGATATGTACCCCAGGTACGCTTCTGTATACAGATATGTACCCTAAACAAGGTCAAAATACAGAAACGTACCCGATACCCTAAAAGGCGGACGAGTCCATATTCGTCAATCCAAAACCAAAACCCCATGTAGTTGTTCCCGTTCAACTGATTGCGAGTGGTATTCATATGCATCGCGAAATATCCGTTACTGTGTATTCTCATTACTTACATAAAGCAATCAAATGTATCTAATGCAACAGCATGACAGTTCCAATACGACACAATGGGAATGGATCCTATGGTACGTTTCTGTATTCTCATTATGGACAGGGTACGTTTCTGTATACAGAAACGTACCTGGGGTACATATCTGTAGTACCCGTGTCGACAACGACCCCTTCAGCCTAACATATAAATCAGAAAACCTTGTAAAAATACATTCCTATCTATCCCTATTTGTGCGGCAAAACGTTCGTAAACATTTACCTACCTGGTAAATGGTATATTTGTTTCCGTTTAGAATTGGAAATTCGCAAGCTAACTGTTAGGCGAAACAAAAACATTATGCCACTCATACTCAATCATGTCCCATTGCATCGTTCAAAATGTCAAAAATTGAACCAGGAGAATTCCGCTCTCTGCCACCTTCCCTGCAAGGCTGACACCGCTATGTTCATACACTTTGAAAAGCTTGACCACAATCAAGTCCCAAATGATGAATACAATGTTCCAAGGAATCCCAAGTAAGTCGCATGTACACAAAGCAGCACTGTCACTCTTTCGTTGCATGCTGGGGTGGAGGCACGTACGTGAAATTATGATCGACACTCGGCGGTCATAAAAATCAACAGTCTCTGATGAGTTACAGGTCATAGGTCGATCAGAAAAGCATCTATTCTTCGATTCTGCAGGGTTCAGGTTCGACAGTCAGTCAAGTATTTTCCACTGTCACTTCGAATTTCAACCTTTCGCAAAATGTAAACACTGGCTTGTCCGCCATTTTAAACTGTTGTGTAACTGTCTACTTCCAAGGAACACAATGCGCTGACACGGCCCATCGACTGTGTTCCAGTTTATTATAAATCCGAGTTTACGTAACAAACCCAATAAACGAGATAGAGCTTGAGAACATTCCTCAAGAGAGTCACAGATAATGAGGAAATCGTCAATATACGCAATAACATCCACATTATATTGTATTTTCATCATTCGACACACAGATGCACTCAAAGTTTGGAAGATTCGACAACTCTTAGATGCACCGAACGGAAGTTTCCTATCATACATGTATGTTATATCAGACTCACCCTCGAAGCACCAGTATAATCTGGTCAGCGCGTAGTTAGTTATTACTGGGGTGTATGTTGACAGATCTGTAAGCGCTCTTTAAGTCCACTTTTGCTAGGTAACTGCCTGTCTTGATTATTTTGAGGGCATGTCTCAGGTCCATATACTCACACTCACAATCTACCATATAACTGTTCATACCTGTATTGTGCGGAACACTTCCATCGTGTATCAAACGAACATTACCATTGTCTTTAGGGATGGCTACCAAAGGGCTCACAATTGTGGGTTTGGAATTGGATATCACATAATTACCCAATGACAATTCTTCTTTAATCTGTATTTTTCCGTTTCCTGACAATTTGTTAAAGCTGATTTATGATTATATGTAAACACTTGGCGTAACTGAACATTTTTAACGTCCGCTAATTTAAATCCATATTTCACACCTGACGAAATATAATCTCTATATGGGTCATCTTGTGGTAACATACGATTCCAAGCCTCATAATTTAGAGTGTTTATTGGGTTTTGTAAAAGTTTTTTGATTCATGGTCAGCACTCCTACTCTCCGAGTGACCACTACTGAAAATAGGAGCACCTGCATTGTGTTGGTGGGCAGAATGACCTGTCATTTGACAGATACTGCATACATGTGACAGTCTGCACCACTCCCCTTGCATACAACGACTGTAGTTGAATCACCGACAAATTTCTCTACCGTCATTTGTGAACGGACCACGTGATCTCTGACGTCGATTTGTGTTGCTGTCACATGCACGCTCCATTTGTTTCATAGCCCTCTCCATGCTTGAATTTCGTTTCCGCCGTAACTGAAAGTCATGTATTTCTTGATAATGTGCTCCCCACTGAAATCCTTCTGCATATTGTCTCTCACGGTACTCATTATCCTACAAAAGTACACTGGCCCACTCGTACTTTGATGCTAATAGTGAGATGTCCTACATGTATTTCAGGTACCCCATAACACTGGGCATGTCAAAATCAGTGGCGTTTATCATGTCCTTTAGCACACCAACACTGGCGTAGGTCCACCTTTCTGGGGACAAGTAAGAAGACTGACCCAAAACACTCGATTCTTTGATGTTGTCAAGGCCTAATATAATGCCATTGCCAATACAAGCAGCTTTTCTGTCAATATTATCGAGGGAATCTACCCATGAGTAGTCCGTTAATTTCCTTAGTTTAGTATTCTTCTTACCCGAAACAGGTTCTGAAGCATGTGTATTGCCTGCACCCTGAGCCGCTTGACTGCCGTTGGCATCTCGCTGGCCACCATCTTGTTTAGCTGCACCGCGTTGCTGCGTAGATTTACTAACATCCAACTCTTGTCTAAGTCGCTCCACTTCCTTCGCCAGAGTAACACGCTTAGCTTCCAACCTGAGACGTTTCATTTCTGTTTCTAATTCGGCACATTCCATTTCGAGGGCGTGTGTGCTCCGTTCCATGTCGTTGGCTGATGCATGATGCAATGGCGGGCTACCAGACGACATGGTTTGCCGAATCTGCGGTGAGAGAATGTCAGAAGACGTCCGTGGAGAAGGTTTTAGCGACTCGAGGGCTTCCATCATCTTTAGTCCAGCTTTCTGGCGTTTCGGTTTCACGTCGGTTTGCTCTGAAACCTCTTTTGATGACATTTTCAATACAATTTATCACTGCTCCGTGATGTTGAAAGCTTGATGCCGTGCGGGTGCTGATGCTAATATAAGGGAGATAACTGCAGCGATACTGTTGTAGAGGCAAGGGACGTTACTCGCACCATACCGTAATCAAAATCTATTTACTCTGTAAAATATGACGAAAATAAGTAGGTCAGACGATTTCATTTTAGTATGGCCAGGGGGGTACAGTAACACGGCACACAAAACAATAGGCTGGTTTCGGCCGTGTGGAGTTATGATTATAAAACCCAAGCTCTTAGGTGTTACATTATTGCATTGAATAAACAGTAGTTTGTTTTCTTTGGACAGAATATTTTTTATGTTGCAATGTTAAAAAAAATACGAACGGAACCTACCACTCCCTTCACAGACGAGTTCAATTCGCCTCTCGTCCCATTCCGGATTACGCAGTGTCTTCCGCAGGACGAGGGAGTTCGATGTTAAATCGGTTATGGTAGAATGGAGATAAATATACTGTGTTTGGAAATTCAATGAAGGTTACACCGAATTGATAGTCTCTAAATTAATCACTTGAAACCTCACGCTACGTGTTCGGCTTCAAATGAAGTTTAGAGACTATCAATTCGGTCTAACATTCATCTAATTTCCAAACAGAATTCCTAATTATTATATGAATATTCCACAATTATTAGGGAACCTCACTTTCATATAACCTTCTATAATAAAAATATTCAAACTCAATTACAATACACAGCCCCAAACATAAACAAGCAATATCTAACATGTAAATCAGAAAGCCTTGTAAATTTCATCCCTATCTATACAAAATGTGCAGCAAATCCTTACTAAACATTTACCTACCTGGTATGATAAATTGTATGTTTGTTTCCGTTTAGAATCATAAGAATGGGAAATTCGCAAGTTAAGGTCAGGCGAAACACAAAATATTTGCGACTCACACTCAATCATGTCCCGTTGCATCGTTCAAAAAACACATGTCAAAAATTGAACCACCAGAATTCTGCTCTCTGCCAGCTTCCCCACAAGGCTGTCACTGCTGGTGATCTATGTTCGTACACTTTTGCCACAATCCAGTCCCAAATGATAAAAACCAAACAATATTCCAAGGAATCCCAAGTTAGTCGCATGTACACAAAGCAGCACTGTCGCTCTTTTCGTCGCATGCCGGGGTGGAGGCACCTACAGCCTATGGAAGTGAAATCATGATCTACACTCTCTGGTCATACAAATTTTTGAATATGTTATTATGTTCCACTAGTTATTGGCATAATAAGACCTTAAAAGCCATGTTCCGAGTAAATATAATTCCATCTGACCACTAACGTTAAATGCAAGTATGGCCAAGGGATTTACCTTCAAATGGTATCCCATAATGATTAGCGCATGCGCTGCAGATTGTCGTTTTGGGGTATGGGTTTTGTAAATGCTGATAAGTTTTACATATGAGTGGACTCAAGAATATCTCCAGTGGCGTTGTCAGGTGATGGTATCTCGGTACTGATCGTCGTCACACTCATCCCATGGAAGGTTTCCGTAGAGTTCTGAAATTCACATAGGGAACTTAATCTTCTAAGCCAGAATATCCTGTGTTATAATCAAACAGTCGGTATCAAATGCATCATATATATCCGATCGTGTTTGGACTCTAGAAAGTATTAATCGTCTTGCACATCAATGTTTGTTTAAAAATGAAACATACACCTTTATGGATGACAACTTCTTGTTTATAGCATAGAGCGACGTTTCGATGTAGATTTCCACACCGTTATCAAGCTTTGCTTTTAACATGTTAACGGTGTAAGAATCTACATGGAAACGCCGCTCTATGCAATGAACAAGAAGTTGTCATCAATATAGTTGTATGTTTTATTTTTGACTCGCCAACTTCTAGAATGCCGATCAAACAATTAATGTTTTGTTTGGTGTTTATAGCCGATGAATTAGTGTACTGTAATGTAGTTTAGTTTTACGCCGCTTTTAGCAATATTCCAGTAATATCAAGGCAGGGGACACCAGAAATTGGCTTCACACATTGTACCCACGTGGCCGGCCGGGGAATCGAACTCGGGTCTTAGGCGTGAGGATCGAACGCTTTAACCACTAGGTTACCCCAACCACCCCAGATTCCCAAGAGAGTGAGATGGAGATTTCCGATGTTTTCAACAATATTTCAGTTGTATTACCTTATACCTTATAGTGGAAGACAAATCAGTAAGTGAGTATGGTTTTACGCCGCCTTTGGCAATATTCCAGCAATAACACGGCGGGGGACACCAGAATTTGGCTTCACACACTGTGCCCATGTGGGGAATCGAACCCATGTCTTCAGCGGACGCTTTAGCCATGAGGCTACCCTACCGCAAGGCAAGTCAGAGATAACGCGCAGAACCTTACGAGTGGTGAAACCTATCACAGATATAGGACCATGACGGGGTTCTAATCCACGATCAGGGCCCGTGGAACGGTAAGGGCACCATGACCCATGGACCATTAGTACAACTTAATACTTCGTTCCGAACTAGATTATTTACTACATTACCTTCAAGCTGTATGAGGGCGTCATCAAGAAGGTTGATACATATGGTGGAGTGAGGACAAGCCCTTGAGGAAACTCCCCGTCGATGAAGTACCCGGGAAACTGAAGCGTTGTACTCAAACGGAGCACCATCAAACCACCGAATGCAATTATATGGATCAACCATTGGGTCAAATCCGGTGGCGACCCCTCTAATAATAACCGTGCTAAGGTCCACATTCCTTGCCAGTACATGACAGACGAGTAGCACGTGATGAAAACCCAAACATTGTCGAAAACAACTTGTAAGATTGGACGTTCTGTGTGAAGATATGCGGAGAGTTTTCTGGCGGGAAACTGTGTAATATAGAGGACTAGTTGGAGCACATGGGCAGCGGCTGTAGTGATCACTGCTTGCCAGAGATTGTTGCTGAGGACGAGAGCGAGGGATAGCTGTAGAAGTAGCCACTTCCCCCGCCACACTAGTAAAACGAACGTCGACACTACCGTCACGCAAAAGACAACGTCGATGACGTTGAAGATGCCGCCTCTCTGAAAGACGGAATGATTAAGTTTGGTATTAACGCATCGTTGACTAGTTTGGGAGTTAGATTACTGCTAGTCAGCTTGGTACTACAGAGAAGCCCGAAGTGATATCGGCTTAAGACATTTCTAAAAAGTCAAAAACTTCAAATCGAATTTTTTTGTTCTCAAATTATGCGCTACAGTCAGCCGTTGTTATGGAGAGTGAAAACCCGAACACCCTAGGCATCCGATATACCTCTTAATTTCTCTGGGCATCCAGTTTAAGAAATCTTGATTCTTATCATGGTGTAAGTAGACAAATTTTAGTTTTCTGTTTAGAATACATGATCATGCTTGTTCATAAGCTGACAGCTGAATAGTTTTGAAGATATACTATTTAACATTTTACCCTACCCTACGGATCCATTGAGGCATCTGGGTTGGCTCTCTCATTGCTCACGTTTAAGGAAGTGTTTGTTTTGTTTCTCGTTTAAGGACGCACTCAGCAATATTATATTATGACGGTATGTAAGTAATCGAGTCTGGACCAGACAGTTCACTGATCAACAGCATGAGTATCAATCTACGCAACTTGGTTACGATGACGTGACTCAACCAAGTCAGCGAGCCTGACCACCCGATCCGGTTAGTCGCCTCTTACGACAAGCATGGGTAACTGAAGATCAATTCTTACCCGGATCTTCACGGGTATCAAGACCAAAGGTGAGGTAGGTAAGGTTTTAGGGCGACCTTGGGCCTCAAAAGGCCTATATGCGCCCAACCAAAGGTGACTTTCTGAGTCGAGTTGCGTCCCTTGGGTGTGACAGACACCGATGATAGTATGTGCGACTTTAATGTTTTGGGTGACTCGTCTTTCATCTGACAGCGGCTTTAAACTCATTTATAGCCATATCCAACACACAACTAGACTCACCTTAGATCGGAAGAGAGTGAGGACTGTGAAGTGTGTTTCTGTATTGACATCCAGACTCCAAGCACCCGGCGGGGCGAGCACGTTCCTGTAGGCTCGCAACAGCACCAGACCCGTCACGCCACCAAACAGATTCCAACACGCGCCTGTCAACGTAACGCCACTATACGTATCCATCAACATCCATAAACCCCGCCAGTTATTCACAAAAGCAAACGCTGTGACATACGTGTATATCCGAGTCACTATCACATACCTGACCGGCTGTTCTGGTCTTATATAACCATTAAGGCGAGACTGCACAAGAAAAGTCATTCCCATTATGGAAATACTGACACACACAGAAACCCATCCTGACGTGATCTGGTTGCTAGGAAACAGATAAAGGTCAAGGATAGTCCATGTGCTGCTCCAGTAGCAGATGACAAGAGGACTGAAGAGAAACAGCACCAGGGCAATATCTATCGCCCGTTCTGTATTGGCGGTAGCCATGTTTGAACGCCGGGTGCAACAACCTGTTCTAATTTTACACACCTGAAACATAGTTCTTTGTGACAGTAAAGTTTTTAATCACGCTTGAGGGGTGAAGATAGCTATTGAAAATATTACATTACTCCGTGAGTGTAATAACTTAAAGTAGGTTAGAACACTATATGTACCCACAAATACAACTCATAAAGGAGAGGTCGCTCGAGCAGAAAACCACACAGAGAGTGTCATGTAAAACCTCTCGGATTCTGTAATACGTCCTGTAACTGGAGCTGTAGGGCACCTGTACAGGGTTTGTTTAACGAGGTTAGACAAGGATATTTCGAGGATGCACCAATACCGAAGACGCATGCAGGAATATACTAGTTTCACCACAACTTATTACGCGTTAATTTGAAGCTCCCATCCGACGTAAACACACTCCAATGAATGCACATGTATTCTTGTAAAGGAAGTTAGTTATCAACTAAGCACACTTGTGTTAGAATTGTTTCTTGGAATAATTGGGTGTAAGCACCTTAAGTACTGTCGGAAATAGGAAAAAACTGTTTTTAGGCTGTTAGTCTGTATCCCTAAAATTTACACAACTGCAAGTAGCATATGTTGAAATAACCCACAACGTCCTTACTGGGCGTTCAGTGGGATGTGTAATAGGATATCCAGAAATGCATGTTTACTCGTAAAATCGGGCAAAACTTAGAAAAAGTACGAATAGCTGCTGAACACAATAGATCAGAGATGGCAATTAGGTCGCTCAACCAGGTATGACGACGGACCGTTGACCTACCTGGCATGAAATGCATGTGCTGCCTACAGGCACAAGGGATCATCTCAAAGATATTTTATGCCTTTTCCATGTGTATTGAATATGTCTCATCTATTGATTAACATCTTACGTGTGTTTCATAACGTTTATGTTGAGATATGTTTAGCAATATGATACCCATAGAAAAGCTTAAATCAACTTTCGTATTAAATGTCTCAAATTATATAGGTGGCAAGACCACCCCAAGATCGACAGGACTCGACATTATTTGTTAATTGTTAAGACATGCCTTATATTTCCCCCAGTTTAATTCCCCTAAAGGAGTATCTTATCATAGCTGATATCTCTGTCCCCCAGGACGACCCCAACCACCGTCTGTGACACTCGTCCTGGTTTTGCTTTTGAGACGACCCCTCCTACCTGTTTCTTTTTATAGTGATAGTGAGGCTCCATGGTAGCTACATCCTTAAAGGTCACATGCAACGTAAAACACAACGTTGCAGATTCTGATACCTTTCGGTATGGACTTACCTAAACAAATCATCAAAAATGCAAATTCAACTTGAAAAAGTTGAAAAATAACGCGATGAAAAAAACCGCGCGAAATCGGAGTTCAAACGATTTACTAATTTTTCCCCATTTTCGGGGAAAACTGGTTTCAACAGCTTGGCTGCGCTCATAGCACGTGCGCAGGGAAATAGGTTCGCGCAACTTGGAAGCGGGCTGTCCGGTGAATACTCGGTGAAGGCTTCGGTGTGAGCTATTTTCTTAATGTTTTGTTGATATCTCACAGGCGCGAGCTTTTTATATGTTATGGCAGTAAATAAACTGTTTATATAATTTCATTTGTCTATTTCACCACACGTTCGTCTTACCGAGTCACTTTCTCAGTTCGATACTTAAAAGCAATGTCTTTATTTAGCGTTGACAGAATTTCTAACTGTGATATAGATATGTCGTTGTCACAGACAAAACTCAATGTCTTGTTTTATTGACACCTGTGTGTCTGCCTGCCTGTCTGCTAATGACAATATTCAATACACAACTGCGATCACTGACCACATGCAATTTGAACTTAACACCAATCAGGCTATACACCATAAACAAAACGGTCTCTGTCACATTATGTAATTACACAGACAGGCAGGTGTGATACTTGAACACATGACATGTTATGATGTCTGTTGATTGCAAAATGTTATACACAAAAAAATGAGCATGTATTTACAAAACCCAACATCTCTATATATACACACACAATGAGCCGTGAGGGCATCTGTAAATGAACTAGCCGTTACACTTGAGTGCACACCCACCCGCTCTGACTGGGTTCGGTATCCCGGCTGCTTCGTTTCTTGGGAAGTAAACCCAAGTACACAATATTGCACTTTTGATTTGCGATTGTACGCTTATAATTTTGTTTATATGTTTTTTCATAACCAGCAATGTATATTATATGTCATGAATAAGTGAAAATTGTGTTTTAATTATGTTTGATGTTTTGGTTGCATGTGACCTTTAATAGTTTCAGCATTAAAGTTAGTATTATTTACGTCAGCTATCGTTTATAATGAAGCTAATAACCCACTCATAAACTGATTCAGCAAGTTTAGAGGGATTTCATCCCACTTTGACATCCTCTTCCCCCATACAAACACATACCCATGACGTCATTGTTCGAGTATATACCGTTACCAAAAAGGACCAAAGAGATGGTTTGAGATGGGGTTCAAATCACTTTGGAGAACTTTCAGCACAGGCTCGGTTAACTCACTTCAGGCTTAGATCAATCCCCGTTGAGCTCAATTTTTTCCCTACGTATTTTACTTCCCCTGTGCAGTTTTGGCATACAGTTCTAAAGGTTTCAGATGTTCATTTGACCTGGGTCTTACCTGGAAAGTTGGCGGAGGGGTAGCCTAGTGGTTAAATCGTTCGCTCCTGACGCCGAAGACCCGGGTTCGATTCCCAACATGGGTACAATGTGTGAGGCCCATTCCTGGTGTCCCCCGCCGTGATATGTCTGGAATATTGCTGAAAGCGGCGTAAAACTGAACTCACTCACTTACCTGGAAAGGTAGGATATGTTTGTGCAGCCGAGATACAATACTACGTATGTACACCTTGTAGGTGTGCATTTAAGAAGTTGTCTCTTCACTGATCTTTCTATGAAGGTATTTAAAGATAACAGTGTGATATCAAACATACAATTTTGGATATAGCCAAAGGTATGTGCACGTATGAAAATGTTTATAGCTAACTCAAGATGTTCAATGCATATGTTTCGTCAAATGAACAAATTCATTGTTTCAGTACCGTGTTCCATTTCACACGGACTATACACAACCTTCATCTATAAATTATATTGGAGGGGATAGTCTATGGACTATTTAAGGAATTTGCGTCTGGTTTAAAGACAAATATACAAAAACACTTTCTTTAGTTTGGTAAACATTTTGTGTGTTATTTTAGGAGGGGATATCAGAACACATTAGTAGGGTGTTGATTGGAACGGTTACTACACATGAATTTGATAAGTGGTTGCCTGTGTTTATTTAAAGGTAACATGCATATTTACCCACTATTTTCATCTCAAAATATATAGTGTTCGTTCATTCATAATTCCATTCGCGCACTAATATTTAACATGGCGCACTGTACGGGAAACTTGCCATCTCAAGCAAACCTCAAGTACGTCTTTGGTTTCTCTCGTTGACCTCACCTGGATTGAAAGTTTAATAAAGGTAGTGAACTCATACTAGTAACTAGTAGGACAAGGCTAAACGGTCACTAAACGGTAAGCTTCATACAGTTATATGGCAGACATACAAAGGAGGCTTCCAATTTGTACGGGTCAGTGGGAAAATAATGCTTGATGTACCTTAATTTGATTTGCTCCCTGTGTTCGCCGGGTTTAGGTGACTAATGGACCTGCCTTTGCATTGTATTTGACTTTGTATATAATTCGCTTTAATTCAAGAAATATCCAGTTTTGTCTTGTAATTAAAATCCCCTTTTCTTAAAGACACAAAATAGATTTATTGCACTCACAACAGTGTTGCTTATCCAGTGTTCCCAAACGTCCACACAATAACACTACGTCAGGATCTTGTAAAGAAACCTCTTGTCTATAGCTAAAACATCGTAATACCTCGTCAGGATCTTGTAAAGAGCCTCTTGTCTATAGCTCAAACATCGTAATTCCTCGTCAGGATCTTGTAAAGAAACCTCTTGTCTATAGCTAAGACATCGTAATACCTCGTCAGGATCTTGTAAAGAAACCTCTTGTCTATAGCTAAAACATTGTAATTCCTCGTCAGGATCTTGTAAAGAAACCTCTTGTCTATAGCTAAAACATCGTAATACCTCGTCAGGATCTTGTAAAGAAGCCTCTTGTCTATAGCTAAAACATTGTAATTCCTCGTCAGGATCTTGTAAAGAAACCTCTTGTCTATAGCTAAAACATCGTAATACCTCGTCAGGATCTTGTAAAGAAGCCTCTTGTCTTTAGCTAAAACATCGTAATACCTCGTCAGGATCTTGTAAAGAAGCCTCTTGTCTATAGCTAAAACATCGTAATTCCTCGTCAGGATCTTGTAAAGAAGCCTCTTGTCTATAGCTAAAACATCGTAATACCTCGTCAGGATCTTGTAAAGAAGCCTCTTGTTTTTAGCTAAAACATCGTAATTCCTCGTCAGGATCTTGTAAAGAAACCTCTTGTCTATAGCTAAAACATCGTAATACCTCGTCAGGATCTTGTAAAGAAGCCTCTTGTCTATAGCTAAAACATCGTAATACCTCGTCAGGATCTTGTAAAGAAGCCTCTTGTCCATAGCTAAAACCTCGTAATACCTCGTCAGGATCTTGTAAAGAAACCTCTTGTTTATAGCTAAAACATCGTAATTCCTCGTCAGGATCTTGTAAAGAAACCTCTTGTCTATAGCTAAAACATCGTAATACCTCGTCAGGATCTTGTAAAGAAACCTCTTGTCTATAGCTAAAACATCGTAATACCTCGTCAGGACATGTGTCAACCAAGTCAGCGAGCCTGACCACCCGATGCCGTTAGTCGCCTGTTACGACAAGCATGGGTTACTGAAGGTTCATTCTAACCCGGATCTTCACGGGACACGAACATGCTAAACGTACTGACCAGGCCCCGATTTCTCGAAACAAACTCAAGTCTGAGTTTTGACTTAAGTTAGAGTTTTTACTCAAATTTGAGAAAACGCAGGAAAATGCATTTCCCAGAATAAACTAAAATCAATATTAAGCTCAAACATAGTAGACAATTTGAGTTTGGTGGATATATTACTGAAGTTATTTGGGCTTTTCTGTTTTAAAAATGCACTAGAGTTAAAAACTCACCTATTTCAAATGGTCAAACTCAGTTTGAGATTTGAGTAAAAACTTTAGTTTGTTTCGAGAAATCGTGGCCAGAACACAAAAGGTTTAGGGAAATGGATGTTTTCAGATACTAACACATTCTATAACGCCTTATTTAGAGTTCCTCCTCGTTATACCAAGATCCCTTGTCCTTATTTGCAGAACATGGCATCTCCTCCGTGAACCTTTGACCCGATGGTCGCAGTTCGTGGCGTATGCAATAATGCTTATATCTCGAATAAACCGATGAATGTATTCTCTTCTCAATACAAAGCCGGATTATTACAACAAGGATAGTATTACAGAAGGAGGGACAGAGGTGGGAGTGTTGGTAATTTTAATCCAAATTTCCAGCATCAGCTGAGTCTCCCAGACAGACAGAACAAATTACAACTGAATCTACAGTCTAGAGTTATTTGGCAAGTCTAGGGTGCCCAGGCTTTTCTGAAATTAGAGTTAGTATTTTGTAGATACATATCTCTCAGTAAGATCACCTTACTTTTGATTAAATGCTCGCCTAGTAACAGCATTGCGGTCTATGTGTTACGACTCTTCAATGTATACTATCTATGATCTTTGTGCAGTAATACTTGAATGTACCTACTCATGTTTGAAGACTGATGTGTTGTGAACTGTCAACATGTACAAGCTTGTATTAGGCATGACATCTGTATAATAATGTATGAATGTTTCTACCTCTTTGTTACCCAGAATGATATGGTGCTATTATGAAAACAAACCAAATGAACCCATGAGCAAACAAGTAATATTACCCATAGCACCGACTTACCTAATTGATCAAGATTAGACGATCCGCAATTATACAACCTTGATAGTAGATTTTTGTATAAAACGATTGTAACTAGAACTGTCACCTGTCAATGTGTATGATTTTTTTATAAAATGACTGTACCTACTGATGTGAATAAAAAAATGTGGAAAAAACCCAGCATTGCGGGAAAGCCGAAATCCTGACCAATGGGATGGCTGATCTTTGGCACCAATTCTGGAACGTTCTGAAGCGGTATTTTAGGTTTACCCCTTTAATACAATCAATGAAACACACTTTGAAAGTGGGAAAAACTATTTTACTGTCAGTGGTGTCACCTTGTCACACAAGAACACACACACAATTATATTTCCTTTAAAATAGGGAGATAATGGTGGGATCATGCTCAACACACTGACTGAAAGGAGGTTTCGTTGTTGCATTTCAAGTACTTTGAACGTTCTGCAATGATTCGATGTATGTATTGATATATACCGAGTCCATGTTCCTGATGTCGGTGATTGTTAACATGTGTATCCAAATAACAATCACCATCCATATAACTATAGGTGTTATCTCGTCCTGTCAACTTATAGAAAATGACACTCAGAATTAACAGTACCATTTTAAATATTTGTCTCAACAACAAAAACCCCGTAAAAATGTTCATCATTTGCCAAATATTCCAAAATATATATAGGAAGATATTGTTGTATTATGGTGTTATGTAGTGTTCTTACAGAAAGTAATCTCAGCAACTTGAGTGTAGAAGAACAACTGGAGTCTTTACGTCACATCCGGTGAAGTTTGTTATTGCTGGATTGTGCACTACACATTTCTTAAAAAGAAAACGGCCTGGTAATTCACGTGTAATTGCTCTTCCATTTTCTATATATCCTATGAATTGCAAATGGAGTAAGTGAATATTTTTAACGACAAAGTACTGGATCAAATTGCATTTACAGATTATTATAATCTTCATAATCACTTCTCCGGGAACGCCCGCCAATTGAAGTGTTGCAATTACAAGAAGAAACGAGTCAAAACCAGTAGGTCATTATACAAAGCAAACTCTTTATTAACAAACAAGCCAAAAGGGTCACTGTCTGTGTCTTTCACACAACATCTTCTTTTCGAACCTCTCCATAATTCACATAACATAATACCCCTGAAGATCCGGGTTAAAATATTGATCTTCAGTAACCCATGCTTGTCGTAATAAGCGACTAACGGGATCGGGTGATCAGGCTCGCTGACCTGGTTGACAAAATGTCATATGTTCCCAGTTGCGTAGATCGATGCTCATGCTGTTGATCACTGGATTGTCTGGTCCAGACCCGATTATTTACAGACCGCCGCCATATAGCTGGAATATTGCTGAGTGTAAAACTACACTCGCTCACGTAACATATATTCGTATCAAACAGTATCTGAGACAAGAACTCTGGTCCAGAACATACACTTCCAGTGTTTGGGTCACGGGTATTGCTACCTTCACCTACTTCAGACCTACGATACAAGAGTACAGTGCTGCCCACCCTCTACAAGTGAGGTGATGGTCTGTCAGATGTCCTTGCCCGAAAACGATAATACTTCTTTCTCTTTCCCGTCCAAAGACTTTTGATTCCCATAGAAATATCTCAGTGGTATTGTTCTCATTATTGTCGACTTGAGGTCCAAAGTTTGACACAGGGTGATCCGTTACCGGTAGTTATCCCACGGTAAAGGGGGGTTGTCAGTATGGTGTGGCTTACAATATCACAACCTGACAAATCCCCGCAGTTTCATAGGTTCAATGAATGGGAAACAACATAAACACCATTACCTATCCCACTGGAGACTACGAAGAACACATTCAGGTGGTTTCCTCAGCAAATGTCAGGGTCTATTAAGAATAGATTCCAGTGGTTTCCACAGCTATTACCAGGTTCCATGAGGAACACATTCAAGTGGTTTCCACATCTAATGCCCGAATTCCCGAGATCACATTCAAGTGGCTTCCACAGCTATTACCAGGTTCCATGAGGAACACATTCAAGTGGTTTCCACATCTAATGCCCGAAATCCCGGAGATCACATTCAAGTGGCTTCCACAGCTATTACCAGATTCAATGAGGAACACATTCAAGTGGTTTCCACATCTAATGCCCGAATTCCCGGAGATCACATTCAAGTGGCTTCCACAGCTATTACCAGATTCCATGAGGAACACATTCAAGTGGTTTCCACATCTAATGCCCGAATTCCCGGAGATCACATTCAAGTGGCTTCCACAGCTATTACCAGATTCAATGAGGAACACATTCAAGTGGTTTCCACATCTTATGCCCGAATTCCCGGAGATCACATTCAAGTGGCTTCCACAGCTATTACCAGATTCCATGAGGAACACATTCAAGTGGTTTCCACATCTTATGCCCGAATTCCCGGAGATCACATTCAAGTGGCTTCCACAGCTATTACCAGATTCCATGATGAACACATTCAAGTGGTTTCCACATCTAATGCCCGAATTCTCGGAGATCACATTCAAGTGGCTTCCACAGCTATTACCAGATTCCATGAGGAACACATTCAAGTGGTTTCCACATCTAATGCCCGAATTCCCGGAGATCACATTCAAGTGGCTTCCACAGCTATTACCAGATTCCATGAGGAACACATTCAAGTGGTTTCCACATCTAATGCCCGAATTCCTGAAGATCACATTCAAGTGGTTTCAACAGTAAATTCCCGAGTCCATGAACGCTGGTTGGAAGGAATATTTGTACACAAACAATCTTCTGGGTGTAGATCTCGGCATATTTTCACATCCTCATCATACACCTGTGTGTTTGCTGTCACCGATAAGTTTGGTGAGCTGAATGTTGTGGGGCCTGTAGAAGTCGTCCAGCAGGTGGCGCGTCTTGTCCATCATATGTACCCGTTTTGATCTTTTCTTTGACTTCGCCTCACGCTCCCGTTGGTCCATCACTGACCTCGGTAAAGGACCTACAATTTCATGGAAAGAAACCTTTCAAAATTTCTCACTAGTCCACAGGACCAGTGAGTGGACAATAATAAGTGGATATCGATACAAAATTCACTGGCCACCAGCACCCCTGCAAACTTATCATTTAGTGGTCCTGATGAATTTTTACTATCCAGGGACCACTGGACCAGCGGAAATTTCTACAAATGTATCACAAATGTTACCTAATTTAAATCAGATGTATGCTGTATCCCAAAACGGTTTGTTGCTTAACCATGAAATGCAGCTTTATCACAAGGCATGTACATACTGGGGGATTATACTTGGGGATAGAAACGAACTGCAATAAAGACGCCCGGATCAAGACTGAATTCTGATTTTCTTTGATTAAATGAAGCGTTGGCAGACGACAAACCTAGTGTCGCCCCTATTGCGTGTCTGGGTTTGTCTGTGGCAGACCACAAACCTAGTATCGCCCCTACTGGGTGTCTGGGTTTGTCTGTGGTAGACCACAAACCTAGTATCGCCCCTATTGCGTGTCTGGGTTTGTCTGTGGTAGACCACAAACCTAGTATCGCCCCTATTGCGTGTCTGGGTTTGTCTGTGGCAGACCACAAACCTAGTATCGCCCCTATTGGGTGTCTGGGTTTGTCTGTGGTAGACCACAAACCTAGTATCGCCCCTATTGCGTGTCTGGGTTTGTCTGTGGCAGACCACAAACCTAGTATCGCCCCTATTGCGTGTCTGGGTTTGTCTGTGGCAGACCACAAACCTAGTATCGCCGCTATTGCGTGTCTGGGTTTGTCATCACCATCCCGGGGAAGTGGAATACTATTCCAGGTGGCATTACAGCTTGCTAACTCACTACAGATAATAACCACGGGGTTCCATAATTGCACTGTCTAGCCAATAAACGAGAATGTGTATCATCTTAAATTTTTGACTTAATCGACAAATTGCAAAATCTTACTTAGACCAAGAAATTTGAATATCTTTGCGAAAACGTTGTAAAAATGATCTCGCATGTCCTCCATTTTGATGATAAGGATTTGATCACGTGGGAACACAGTCAGCCAATCCCTGATAAACACGTGGTACAGGCCTGTCACCAACTGGCACTGAAACAAGACACCAACACAATTGGAGCTGACACAAGTTTCATTATTCTCGGTAACTTGTAGATAACTCCACATTCGCCACTCCCAATATTAGTTATCTTTTATTGGATATATCTAGAAGCAATATCCGACTACATTGCATTGTGTTCTACGAACACTAGAGAACCTACTTCAACTCAAGAATCTAATATATACTCAGCAGCAAAAAAACCCCGTCAGTACGAATTTAAAATTAGATAGGCACTGTAATCAAATCATTACAGAAATGAACATAATAAGCGGATCAAAAACATTTTTTGTGTACAATATCTTGACACATCAATGAATAACTCAGCACAATTTCAAGACATTACGTGAACGTTTCAGACTCTTGACTTCAGTATCTAGTGTGACCACCACGAGCGGCAATAACTGCAGCACAGCGTCTATGCATGGAGTGCACCAATAGATAGATGAAGGCCATTGGCACCTGGAACCACACTCTGAGAAAGGCCTGGCGCAATAAATCGTCTGTGTTCGGCCTTGGTATGACATTATTCAGCCTCCTCTGAATTTCATCCCAAAGATGTTCAATTGGGTTTAAATCAGGACTGAGGGCTGGCCACTGCATAATGTTGACACCTTTCTGCTGTAGGAAGTCTTGTGTAGCTCTGGCAGTATGGGCCCGGGCGTTATCATGCAGGAAAATCTTGTTCCGGTGACGTGCGAAATGTGGTATGACGTGGGGTCTGAGAGCTTGGTCGCTGTGATGCCGCCTCCTCTCCCTGGACCACAGTTCTGGAACACCACAGGACCCACTCTCTGGTTCAGGCCTATTCCACCCCATACCATGATGTTTGCACCTCCCCATGAGTCTCTTTCCATAACACATTGGTCTGAGTAACGCTGGCCACGTCGTCGCCAAATTCTTGCTCTGCCATCTGCAGTTGATACGCAGTACCGACTCCCATCTGTGAACAGAATTGTTCTCCATTGCCCGTATCGCCAGATTTGGTGTTGTAGGGCAAACTGTAGACGTTCACGCCGATGACGATGGGTGAGGATAGGTCCACGGTAAGGTCTACGGCAATGGAGGTTCCCGTTGTTAAGACGTTGGCGTAGTGTATCAGTACTGATTGGTCTTCCGTGTGTTCCAACTGTCTAGCGTGCTGTTTCGGATGCCTGCATGAAGGGATTCTGTACATGCTGTCGCACAACATGGCGGTCTTGTCGTCTTGTGGTCACCCTTGGTCTGCCAGTACGGGGGCGATCACTTGTGGTGTTGGTGGCCCAGAAACATTGCTGCAGCCTGTAGATGGTCCGAACGTTGACCTGGAAGTGATTGGCAACGGCTTGTGCAGTGTGGCCAGCTTCAAGTCTTCCTAGCGCCTGGTTCCTCTGAACTGTCGTGAGTCGCGGCATCCTGCTGACGTTGTAATGTGAATGTTTCAACCAGGTTTGGGGGTGCATTTTGTAGGGCTGGTCCTTGTGAACAGCACGTGCAGCATGAGTTGCATGAAAAACATGGAGAACACCGTACCATCTCCGAGATCAGGTTGCGTTTTTGAGACCATTTCCTGGGTTCCATTCTGAGTTTAGGAAGTAATGATGTCAAAAATATACAATCAAAACATTAAATGAGTTTACAGTTGTCCGTTTCTGCGAAGGAAAATTCTAAACTGACGTTTCTTTTGCTGCTTAGTATATATGTCAATGCAACCTTCACACTCATACTCACGTGATGCCCTTGAGACGCGCTCGTCTGAAAACAAGGGTATTAAATCAGCACGAGTGATTGTATTTGACATGCGATGGAAACAGGGAAAGTGTTCTGAACTAGAGCTCCGCCGATTCGTTGTGTGGACTCTGTTTCTCCGACGTGAAAATGAGATGATAATGTTTCTTGCCTAAAAGCTAATGATTTTTACGGACTTCCCAATTTTCAGGAGAGCGAGGAATGTGATATATGAATGTTCCTGGGATCTTGTTATGGTTGAGGTCAACCTAGGCTATGATTACATACCGTGGAATCGGTGTAAACATGACGTTAACTAATGCAAATGTATTAAGGTATTTGGCTTAATAAGCCAAAATGTGGTTTCTTTAGGGTTTTTTTTTTTAAGGAAAGCCAAATTAAATTAACCATTTCATTCGTCACATCAAATAGGAAAGTAAACTACTTTTGAGAAATAACTTACCCTCAGCGTCTCATTGTAGGCGCATGCTCTGTATGAGGTCCTGGCAAAACAGTCAGTATACATCCGGGTCTGCTTCACCATACTCTCGTGGAAGTGCTCGGCCGACCCTGTGCCGGGGTCGAAGTGGTTGTACGCAGATATCATTCTGGTAGAAAAATACAAACTAAGTGAGTGAATATTGATAAACTGTAACATGTATTAGCCGGAAAATATTCGTACCGTTGTACGCCATCAGCTACCCAGACAGCAATCAGACCACAAGACCACCTATTCCGTTTTGATCGATTTGTATGAATATCAGTGAATGAGTGAGTTTGGTTTTACGCAGCCTTTAGCAATATTCCAGCAATATCAGGGCGGGGGACACCAGAAATGGGCTTCACACATTGTACCCATGTGAGGAATCGAACCCAGATCTTCGGCGTTACGAGCGAACGCTTTAACCACTGGGCTACCCGACCGCCCCGTATGAATATCAAGAGTAACTCTTTTACGAAAAAGGTAAAACTGGTTTACTATTAAAACTGTTTTGTGACGTGTATTTAAAACCGTAATTCAAAACGCACTGTTACAGCTGTATGACAGCAGCCTGTAAATTTGGACCTGGCCAGAATTTGACTATGTGGCTGAATGGCAACTTACACTCCCATGCTGACAGATACCAGGCGCGCAGCAAGCCAATTATTTCGTGTAAGCCCATAGGTTGCAAAGCTTTATATTTAGATAGTATTGAGAACTTGCCCAACCTTTTTAGCAACAATCATGTGTAAGACCGGACTTTTTTTTATAATGGTAGTATGCCTTCTACGGGTACTCGAGTACTCGACCACGAGTCGGGTTCAGCTGGGCTCAAGTCCATTTTCTAGGACTCGAGGACTCGATTTCCATGAGGGAATTCTTATGCATTCAAACGTTCTCAAAATGAATATATACAGTATATATACAATTCGCAAAAATATACACAATAATTACATGCACAAAACGAATGATGGTTACACACATATACACAATAAACTGACATGATACAATACAGTTAACCACATAGGTCAAAAGGCTGAATAATTCTAGTAGTAATCATGATGATGATTCAAAATTCACGAATATTGGATGGGATGAAAGACTGTCGAAAGCGGCGTCCAGAAGGAAGTAGTTCAAAATGGTGAGATACGCTATAGGAAGTATCAAATCTAATTTTAGCTGCCTTTTTGACAATATGACGCTCATAGATAAAGGGAATATACTCGAAAGAATCTCCAGCAAGTTTGCTGGCAGTATTAACAATTTTGAAAAAAGTGTATTTTTGTTGCGAGCAAAACATAGCAGCATACCAACATAGAAAATTGTAGGTCAACACCCTTTTAATAAGGTTTGATAAAAAACCGGTCATTATGGTTTTGTCAATAGAAACGTTTCCTAAGTGGCGAAGGAAATATGTCGTGTTGCTCCTTTTTCTAAATGTGATGGATAAGTTTTGAAAACGAAAGTTTTCAATCTGAAATGACATTGATATATTTGTTTATGGACCACAACCACAAGGAACATTCCCAGTCATGAGTGCTGATAACTCCACTCTACTCACTGATCGTGAGAACATCTTGGAAAGATGGGCAGAGCACTTCGACTCTGTCCTCAACAGACCTTCATCCATCAATGATGAAGCCATAACTCACCTTCCGCAAATCACTATAAATGAGACCATGGACACAACACCCTCCATTGAAGAAGTAAGAAAGGCAATCAAGCAGCTTTTATTTTGCAAATCCCCAGGCTCAGACAGTATCCCAGCAGTAATATACAAAGCTGGTGGAGAAACTCTGATACAAAAACTACTGGAAGTCCTAGCATCATGCTGGGGCAAGGGTGAACTACCGCGGGAATTCAAAGAGGCATCAGTTGTTCACATATACAAGAGAAGGTGAAACACACACGTCTGTGACAATCACAGGGGGATCTCCCCTTCTGAGCATAGCGGGAAAGATTCTCGCAAGAGTCCTACTAAACCGTCTCATACTGCACCTCGATGATGGCCTGTTACCAGAAAGCCAATGTGGTTTCCGAGCTAATAGAGGTACTGCAGACATGATGTTTGCAGCCCGACAATTACAGGAAAAGTGCCAAGAACAGTACCAAGGCCTATACACAACATTTGTGGGCCTGACAAAAGCATTCGACACTGTCAGTAGAGAAGGTCTGTGGAAGATCATGGTCAAGTTTGGATGTCCAGAACGCTTCATCACAATGGTGCGCCAATTTCACAATGGAATGATGGCTCGTGTCCTTGATGATGGAGAGACATCACACGACTTTAAGTCACCAACAGAGTCAAGCAATGCTGTGTGCTGGCACCTACATTATTCAGCATGATGTTCTCTGCTATGCTGACTGATGCGTTCAGCCAAGAGGATTCAGGTATAAGCATCAGATACCAGACCGATGAAAACTTTTCAACCTTCGGCGCCTGCACAATGAAAGCCATACTAGTACTATTGAGGGCTTGACGTCATTCACATACATGTTGATGGAAAAACAATCATCACTGAAAGAAAGACGCTCTTCAAATTTATGATATGTAGAATAACATGTTTACTGTACATGGTAATGCTTTGTTATCAAAGGATATTGTAGTCATTATGATTCAAAGAAGGATTTCCATTTTTAAATGGTTCTGATAACGTGTTTGTAGGTATTTTTGGCAAGAATTAGAAAAAAAAATGTTTCAGCAAAAATCATGTGTAAGCCCGAGCTTTTTTTATATGATGATAGCTACGTGCCTGGATACGGGTAAAGAAAAGAAATGACCTACAAGTTGCAGGTTAGAGATCACTAGGCTAGTACCCTGGCTTGGTTGCGCTGCACAACAGTGCAGTCATCGTACTAGTCACAGAAGTCAAGAGAGGTGTGCTGTCTGTCTCACCTCTCTGTTGGGTCCCTGAACATGATGATGACTCTGGCCAGGGGGTTGAGGTGGTGGACATAATGGGGTATAAGGACACGTGGTTCGGAGCAGTAGTAGTTCCCTGGCAGGTTGGCCCAGAAGTGGTTCCGCCATACTGTTGAGGCCGACCCGTCACCTTGACATAAGAAACGGAACATAGAACAACACACGGAACAACACCTTACCCTCAAACGTTGTTTCTCTGTTGTTGAGAAATGTAGGGTAGCCTAATGTTTGATTGTTCTTCTCTCTTCGAATACCTAGGTTCGATTCCAACATGAATACAATGTGTGAAGCCTATGTCAGGCGTGGCAAGCCATATATTTGCTGCAATTGTTGTATCCAGTTGTTTTTTTCAGAAAATCGGCCATTTTGTTTTTATGACGTCATCACACCAGAGTGTGACCTTTGTGTAACCTAATCGATTTGGACAGTGAGTTTTTAACCCTTAAGACCCCTTTGGGATGAGTCCCATTCCGGAGGGCATCACATGACCTTTATTATGTGACCTCATTTTAGGTGTAAAAATCACCTTGTTTTTCACACAACTTCACTTGCACTACCTCTGGAATCACTGTGATCTTCTGAAAGCTATAGTAAATGTGGAACCTGTGGCCAACTTACTGGGGTATCCTGAATCAGTACAGTAGAGCTTACATAATGGTAAGTCATTTTCTTCACATATAGAAATCAGAAACTAGATACACGTATTCTGTGTGTTTTCCACGAATTTTCATAATTTGACAGCATGCATTAGGGCTTCAACGAGTGCCATTTTCTTGGACTCGAGTACTCGAGGGGTGAGACTCGACTCGGACCCGAGTACTCGAAATTCGTACCTTTCAAACAAACGATAGCGTAACCGGCATGACATGTGTTCCGATCACACAAGTGAACACTTACTTCTTTCCGACTTCATATCGTCGTGTGACTAACATTTCCTATTGGTCAGAATCAGTATTTGAATGTTTACTTGCTGCCAAATTATTTTTTTTCATCGTACTGGTTGTACTGCCTGCATAACGCAGTGATAAACCGCACAGGCGGCATTTGGTTATTTTTCTCTTTTCACTATCCAGATCAAGACACGCCCATACATTTGATTTTTTATCCTTCTCCATGTCTGTTAAGATAGTTACCTAATCATTTTAAGAAGTGAAATCTCAAACGATGTATAATATTTACTCTCATCTGCAGACTTGCTACAACTAATACCATACAGCCACACCTTGTGAGGAGTAAACTACTTAATCTAAGCGTTAATAAAAACATTATCAGATGGGTTACAGAATTCAGGGTACATAGAACTCAGTATGTCAGTGTCAATGGCTATCAATCTTCTTTCCTCTCAACCTCTACTAGAGCTCCACAGGACTGTGTTCTTTCATCCGTACTCTTCGTTTTGTATACCAATGACTGTTACTTGTCATTAAATGACTTGTTTACAGTGAAATTCGCAGATGACGCCACTGTTACTGGCCTAATTTCTTATTCTGAACCTTATTATCGTCAAGGCATTGACAAAACCGTAATGACAGTTTTTATCAAACCTTTATTCAAAGTGTGTTGATCTACAATTTTCTATGTTGGTATGGGGTCTGTCTGATCGCAACAAAAACAAACTTTTCAAAATTGTTAATACTGCCGGCAAAATTTCGAGTATATTCCCTTTATCTATGAGCGCCAGATTGTCAAAAAGGCAACTAAAATTAGATTTGATAGTTAACATATTTTATCTCACCATTTTGAAGTACTTCTTTCTGGACGCTGCTGTTGATTACTTTCACTCAAAACAAACAGAGCTCGACAGTCTTTCATACCATCAAGTATTCGTGAATGCAACAAATATTTTGAATTATCACCATGTGATAACAACTAGAATTATTCAGCCTCTTTACCTATGTGGTTATTTGAATTATATCATGTCAGTTTTATTGTGTAAATAGCTTTCGTTTTGTGCATGTAATTATTGTGTATATTTTTGTGAATTGTGTACATATTCATTTTGAGACAGTTTGGGTGTATAAGAATTTCCTCCAGCACATGGCAGACAGTCTGTCAACGTAACCCAATAAATCGCGTTATCTCCCCTATTTCACTGAATCAGTGACTACCTTGATACGCCCAATTCTTAACACCAGGGGGTCTCTACCTCTTTATACAGAACATACTATTATCCGTCACATGATGTTTACACAAGTATGACATAAAAGACGAGTTGTGCTTCATTACAGATCAAACAAACGTTGATCACGTAAATTTGACATTTGTAATTGTATAGTTACTTGTACAACCACAGACGATCACAGTGATTATGTCGAAGGGTGTTCATATCGGAGGAGTCCATCATGACAGAGGTAGTGCAAGTGAAGTTGTGTGAAAAACAAGGTGATTTTTATACCCAAAATGAGGTCACATAACAAAGGTCATGTGATGCCCTCCGGAAGGGGACTCATCCCAAAAGGGGCTTAAGGGTTAAAAACTCACTGTCCAAATCGATTAGGTTACACAAAGGTCACACACTTGTGTGATGACATCATAAAAACAAAATGGCCGATTTTCTGCGAAACCCCCCTGGATACAACATGCGATATTGCTAAAACAAGGCAAAGTCATATCACTGGAATATTGCTGAGTGCGGAGTTACACAACAACCAAGATCTACGAACAAAACATCTGGTATTCAGTGATCAGATGAAACACTGATCATCTGACGGTATATATTTCTCAACGTTAAGAGGCTTCGGTAACCACGGTGTTGAACATCAAGCTTTAAGAGACAGTGCTCAGATCAGGACGATATTACAGCACAACCCCTGGGCACACAGACGTGTGAAACATCAGAGTGAAAGCCAGGGTTCTTCAGAACGTACAGATAATTACACACTACATAGACTCCCTGAAATATACCGTATATTACTCATATAATGAATGCTGATTTGTCTGTAAATAATCGAGCCATGCAAACTATTGGATGATAACATCAACAAGGCTCTTTCCTGGAACATGTTCATCCATGTTACTCCTGTAACCCATCAATGAGGGCACAGATTACCCCAAACATCCATTGTTTCTAAAAGTCGACTATATTAATTTGGGTATCCACATCCTTTGTACTTTTCATCGAACCAGGGCAGAGTGGATGATTTCTAATTCTACAAATCCACTTCTTGCTCATCACTTAACAATGACAACCATATCATATAGCTGTACCTGTGATCTGGTGGTGGAACTGTTTCGCCTCTATCTCTCTGGCAGCAGGAGCGAACACTTCCAGGTAGGCTAGAATGTGGGACTGATCTGGAAGGATGAAGTTATGTACACTATTAGGTCATCCTTTTATCTTGATTATACTCTTGAGTTCATTTAAACTCCGAAAGGACACGTACAGTACACCAATATACATCTACACCTGTAACATAGTTAAACATCGCCCTTTCTTCATTTTCATATTTACCTTATTGATATGATCCTTTTGGAAATGTCCATATAAGACATTTATACTTTCTGACACGTATGTTATGTTTGGGATTATAATAACTCTGCAAAGCACTGATTCCATAACTGTTGTGGGTTGTCCAAACAGGAATTAGAACCCACATTTGTAGAGCGATCTGCTGATCTACTGATCTGCAGCAGGTACGATCCCCTGACGAGTGATCTACCGATGTTCACTCACAGGTGTTCAGCAGGTGGATCTTCTCTGATGTCCCCCTGGATCTCCTCTGATGTCCTGAGAAGCTGGATCTGCACCCATGGCAGAAACTGGATCTGCACCGATGGCCTGGAGAAATCTGCACCCATGCCTGAAACTGAATTCACTTGATCACCTAGAGAGTGTCTCCTCTGATGTCCTGGAGAAGCTGGATCTTCTGGCCTGATGTCCAACGAGAAGCTGGATCTGCACCCATGGCCTGGAGAAGCTGGATCTCCTCTGATGTCCTGGAGAAGCTGGATCTGCACCCATGGCCTGGAGAAACTGGATCTGCACCGATGTCCTGGAGAAGCTGGATCTGCACCGATGTCCTAGAGAAGCTGGATCTTCTCTGATGTCCTAGAGAAACTGGATCTGCACTGATGTCCTAGAGAAGCTGGATCTTCTCTGATGTCCTAGAGAAACTGGATCTGCACTGATGTCCTAGAGAAGCTGGGCCAGCCTGTAGAACACTAATGGCGCATCCAGCACAACGATCATTGAAATCCGCGGGTCACGATCTTTGCGATCCTTTTGGTAACAAATTAGCCGTAACAGACTCCAATAATGGACAAATAACATTAATGTACTGGAACTATTCAAACCGAGACCATGTTTGCGTTTTGCTCCCCAGACAATTCACAAACCCTATCCACAAAGCGTTCGCAGCATTACGTCATTCGTAAGCCAATGATGTAGTATAGATTTACGACAGGTCGTAGCGTTACGAACGCTTTGTGGATCCGGACCCTGCTTACATAATGGCACACTACTCAGACACAGTGAGGTAGGACTTACGTTTAAACCTTGTTTTTGATAACCAGTGAGATTCCTTGACTGCCGGTGCTGCTGTATCTGGATGACTGAAGATGGTTTGAAAGGCAAACGTCGTACCACATTTTGCAAAACCCGCTAAATAGAAATATGGCAGACATTTCAACTCGCCAGTATTGTGATTCCGCCAACATGGGTTCTTATACTCAGTCAGGAAGTCATGCTTCTTCTGAAACAAGGAAACACAGTGGCTGTTGGCTGCTGATACATATACTGGTGATATTTGTAATACACCGAATCCAAACTCTAAAAAAGATAAAAGCGCTACATTTTTCTCCTGATCAGTGTGCATCCTGGGAAGTATCCAACCTGTGAGGCCCTTAAAGGTAAACAGTCCCATTACCATGTCTTATATGTCATATAGCATTTCGGATACAATGTCGGTAGACTGTATAAGTGGTTTACTTGTAATTGAAATTGGAGTAGATGATGATGTAATGGTCAGCAATATTTCGGCTACATTACTGAAATCTGTGAATAATCAATTCTGTGACAGGGACACGGGCTCATAGCATGATCAATTTTCCATGCGTGCTGATAAGTAACTTAGACCGAAATAACTAAACTACCTCCCCACTTTAAACCATCTCAGCTTTATCTCCAGAAATACATAAATAAAGTAACTAAATAACTACGGGAATAACAAATACATGTACATGACTGACCTAAACATATGTTTGTTAAATCTAAATGTGTAGGGGTGTTTGGGGTAGCTAAGGGAAAGCACCAGAAGACGCACTAACTCATTCATTCACTCACTCACTCACTCTGAAGTCGGTTATGATACTATTATTAACTTTTTAAAATAAACATTCGCTGTCAGGACTGAGTAAGCAGCTATTACTATTCTGAGCAAGTCATGAATCTTGAATTTCTCCATTGCTTCTTTGTCGACGTCTGGTGCCAGACTGTCCCGAGAGCAAGAATCACGTGAGCCAATGTCGGAATGATTGAGCAGCTTGTCCGCTTTATCCATTCCGCCATTCAAGCCATACGGCGGGACCACTCCTAACATCCTCAGCTGGCGGCATGTATACAACACCACAGCAACTGCGAGACAGGTCATTATGCATTTTCGGCGTTTTCTCCGATTCTGAAAGAAGGGCAAAATACATTATAGTGTGCAGGGGAGAAAGGGAGAGGAAAATGTAATCCGTCTGTTACCATTTCCCGTCTGTATTTGTACATTACCATTTCCTATATATTTCTATATTACCATTTCCGGTCTATATTTGTACATTACCATTTCCTATATATTTCTATATTACCATTTCCGGTCTATATTTGTACATTACCATTTCCTATATACTTCTATATTACTGTTTCCGGTCTATATTTGTACATTACCATTTCCTATATATTTCTATATTACCGTTCCGGTCTATATCTGTACATTACCATTTCCTATATATTTCTATATTACCATTTCCGGTCTATATTTGTACATTACCATTTCCTATATATTTCTATATTACCGTTTCTGGTCTATATTTGTACATTACCATTTCCTATATATTTCTATATTACCATTTCAGGTCTATATTTGTACATTACCATTTCCTATATACTTCTATATTACCGTTCCGGTCTATATCTGTACATTACCATTTACGATATATAGTTCTACGTTACCGTTTCCGGTCCATGACTCTACGGTAAGGTTTCCGGTCCATGTCTCTACATTAAGGTTGCCGGTCCATGTCTCTATATTACCTGTCCATGTCTCTATATTACCTGTCCATGTCTCTACGTTACCGTTTCCGGTCCATGTCTCTATATTACCTGTCCATGTCTCTATATTACCTGTCCATGTCTCTACGTTACCGTTTCCGGTCCATGTCTCTATATTACCTGTCCATGTCTCTATATTACCTGTCCATGTCTCTACGTTACCGGTCCATGTCTCTACGTTAAGGTTTCCGATCCATGTCTCTATATTACCTGTCCTCTACGTTAAGGTTTCCGGTCCATGTCTCTACGTTACCGTTTCCGGTCCATGTCTCTACGTTAAGGTTTCCGGTCCATGTCTCTATATTACCTGTCCATGTCTCTACGTTAAGGTTTCCGATCCATGTCTCTACGTTAAGGTTTCCGATCCATGTCTCTATATTACCTGTCCATGTCTCTATATTACCTGTCCTTGTTTCTACGTTAAGGTTTCCGGTCCATGTCTCTACGTTACCGTTTCCGGTCCATGTCTCTACGTTAAGGTTTCCGGTCCATGTCTCTATATTACCTGTCCATGTCTCTATATTACCTGTCCATGTCTCTACATTACCGTTTCCGGGCCATGTCTCTACGTTACCGTCCCTCTCTGTCTCTATATTTCTGCATTCTATATTTCTGCATTGATATTAGTTGTTTGTTACTGTTTGACTGATATGCATAAAAACCTATTGGTCAAACAATGGTTGTTTGGAAGCTTCCGTTTGAAATTATTTTTTTTCAGACGATTTTCCCGATAGTTCATCTTTAATTTCGGTTTCATCGCTTTTTCATCAATATTAATTTCAAGAATTTATCATATAAGCAAAGGATAGCATTACGCACCGTATCAAGTGTATATATCAAATTTAAACCGTGTGACACAGGCCTTGAATCGAATATTATAGTCACATGGTATAAATTCGAGTTAAAGAGGGCTATTAGTCTGTGAGGCGACCTGCACATCGCGTTGGGCAAGGAAAACCCGTGGTTGGCAAAATTAGCAAAGAAATATCATCCTGGTATTATACAGGTGAATTAAGATCAGGAAAGGGGAAATCCCTTCTCAGAAACTACAACACCTAAACAAATCAATTCAAAATAAACAGAATTTGTCAAATTTAAAATAATTTACTGTGGATATTCTTCTCTGAAACCAAAACGTTTAGAGGTCCGAAATCAAATAGAGATGTGTACACAAATGAAGTAACACGTTTCCTAAAAATGCGTATGGATCTACCTCTCACAACCCAGAGAACCCCAGGAAAACTGATGATGGATACAATAGTAACTTCTTCATAACCATATATATGAAGAAAGGTCAAGCTGACCTGGATTTTGTAGCGCGTGAGCATGAGTAAGATATTTGTTTATTACACCAGGGCATACATGATTGCATGTGGGGGGAAATGACATACAGAAATTTGTATTATTTCACATCCGAATGAAAGTTCAGCGTAGGCGGGAGACGGAAACACAGAAAAAAGGATAGCTTTACTTGATGGATTACAAGATAGTGGAATGTGCTCAATAACCTTGGCGCTTGTGTATAGGATCGACGTGTAATAAGTTAACCTGTCCGTCCTTCCTACTAGGATTGACCGCCTCCGTGGTGAGAGGAAGGTTGCGGGTTCGATCCCCAGCCGCGTCATACCAAACGACGTTAAAATATGTACTTTTTGTTCCCTGCCTGGCGCTCGACATTAATGGGTAAAACAAGCACTGGTCGGCTCGGAGTATAATGTGTCTGAGTTGGGCATTCATGCTTACCTGCGGCATGATATCTCAGTGAGATAGCACTATAAAACAGCTTCAGTCTGGGCTAGTACAAGAAGCCGCACATACACACGCATGCATGTCGTCATATGAGCGAAATATTCTTAAGCACGACGTTAAACCCCATTTCACTTCACCTCACCTCCTACTATGATTAATGACTGTCATTCCATACGCATGCATGTCCTTATCGAGTTATCCATTCATACGCAGCATATCAATATCAATCAATGTGTTGATACCTAGGAAACAGATGCTACATGCACGTTGCTAATGCTGTGCTTGGTCATGATGTAGCTTGTTATACAGTGAATGGTGTGTAGCTTGAGTTAATTGTCCCAGCCTGTGACACCTAGTGACCAATGGCAGCACTTATGAAATCCTTTCAAGACATTTATTCTCAAAACCACCAACGGTAGTACAAGACCATATTTTACACAATATTCACAACTCTGTACAAAATTCCATATGGTGAAAAGCAGACGCACTCAATACGTGTATGACATAAAACATTACTGATATAATACATGTATGACATATACCATCACTGATAGATATACTTGTATGGCATATAACATCACTGATATAAATACTTGTATGGCATGTAAAATACTGATATTAATACTTGTATGGCATGTACAATCACTCATATAAATACTTGTATGACATGTAAATCACTGATGTAAATACTTGTATAACACTTAACATCACTAATATAAATACTTGTATGACATGTAAATCACTGATGTAAATACTTGTATAACACTTAACATCACTAATATAAATACTTGTATGACATGTAAATCACTGATGTAAATACTTGTATAACACTTAACATCACTAATATAAATACTTGTATGACATGTAAAATCACTGATGTAAATACTTGTATAACACTTAACATCACTAATATATATACTTGTATGACATGTAAATCACTGATGTAAATACTTGTATAACACTTAACATCACTAATATAAATACTTGTATGACATGTAAATCACTGATGTAAATACTTGTATAACACTTAACATCACTAATATATATACTTGTATGACATGTAAATCACTGATGTAAATACTTGTATAACACTTAACATCACTAATATATATACTTGTATGACATGTAAATCACTGATGTAAATACTTGTATAACACTTAACATCACTAATATATATACTTGTATGACATGTAAATCACTGATGTAAATACTTGTATAACACTTAACATCACTAATATATATACTTGTATGACATGTAAATCACTGATGTAAATACTTGTATAACACTTAACATCACTAATATATATACTTGTATGACATGTACAATCACTAATATATATACTTGTATGACATGTAAATCACTGATGTAAATACTTGTATAACACTTAACATCACTAATATATATACTTGTATGACATGTAAATCACTGATGTAAATACTTGTATAACACTTAACATCACTAATATATATACTTGTATGACATGTAAATCACTGATGTAAATACTTGTATAACACTTAACATCACTAATATATATACTTGTATGACATGTAAATCACTGATGTAAATACTTGTATAACACTTAACATCACTAATATATATACTTGTATGACATGTACAATCACTAATATATATACTTGTATGACATGTAAATCACTGATGTAAATACTTGTATAACACTTAACATCACTAATATATATACTTGTATGACATGTAAAATCATGATAGGACGCCTGATTAGTCGTTCAGGCTAAAGTCATATAAATTATAAAGTCATATAATATAGGCTAAACTGGGTTTGTCGTAACATCATTCAACTGGATTAACGGAAGGGTTGATCGTGCTATTGCCCCACAGCATAGACCGATGCTCATAACATCAGTCACTGGTTGATCTGATCCAGACAGGAACATTTACTGGTCGCAGAATAGGGTTTGAGTAACAAACAAAATATTGCTGCCCATGTAATAATTGATAAAACATGTCGCTGTCAACTTTAAGCGGACATTTACTTGTACCACTTACTGATATAAATTACTCGTAATGGTTCATGTACTTGAGTCAACATATTCAATATGTTTCTGTGTAATGTAACTGACGCGTAATAAGTACGATCTATTGTGTACAACAATGGCCAGAAGTCGATAAATAGAGAATACATTTGTCAGTCATTCGAACTTCAATGAATGAACACTTTGTGCAAGGCTATCTGAACAGTCAGATTAGCACAGCAGGAACAATAAAATGTTTCAAAGCAAATCACATTTTGATTCTACTCCTGCTAACAAATGTGATCGGTTATTAATGACGATGTGATATGTCTTTGTAAATTGTTTTCATGACCCTCCCAATCAAAGCAAGTGCAAATTCATTTTATATTTTAGATATGAAATGCCCATGTCTACGGCCCTCCCCTAATATGTGTGTTGTTTTCAGGACCCTCCCCATGAGAGTGTCATACATTTTGGTGACCCACCCCTGATGTCCTCTGAGCCATCCACTTCTATATGACCGGTCGCTGAGGTCTGATTACACTATAACGTAAGATTTAACGGTTACAGCCATCAATATTTGTGTGTGCGTGTTAGTAGTTGAAAACTGCAGCTATATGTATATAACACATTCTGGATCAGTGAACGACATCATGAGCATCGAGCGTTGCTATTTGGATACGATGACAGGGATCACCAAGACCACAAGTCTACCCACTAAACATCGTGTTTCACCTCTTGTGACAAGCACGGACTGCTGAAGACCAATTCCAACCCGGATTTCCAAGGGTTAACAACCATCACCTGATTAGGATGAGCTATACAACAGGATTTAACAGCTTGATAGATCAATTTGCTTACATCTCTATGTGTTCCTTGATATAGGATTGAGTTAGTAAAACATACCTTACAGCACGCCATGCCTCCCCTCAGTCTACAGGGCAGACAAACATGTCGGTCTGCACAGCTTGGTGTAGTGTTGGTTCGTCGATATGTGCTCACATTCAGGTAGGTCTGATCAATGCCTGCCTCTACACTGGGAAACACATGTTCCCATAGTCATGGCTGTTCAGTCAAAATATATTGTTTGATTGTTGGTTTTCACTGCCCGTCATCGCGTTCCTGTTAACTTTATCGATCGTACAAAAGGTTATTAACAGTTAATAACGGTGTAATGAGATTTCCAGATGGTGAATATACAGTAGGTATAGGGATACAAGGTAGGACCTTTATAAAGATAGGTAAATCAGTGAATGTGACTATATGTAACGTCGTTTTGAACATATTGAGAGCACCACGTGATGCAGGTCGCAGACTTTTAGTTTTAATGAATCTTCCGACACTAATAAACCCGGTTACAGTCCGGGTGAATCTAGGATTCCAATCCAGGATTGCTGGGTACCTTGTCTGAGAGTCGCAAAGCATATATATAATGCATACACAGAGACTGATGTTGGTGTTATTGGATGGGTACGATTAGAAATGCTGGTCTAATTGTGTCATCTAGATTCCTATTTCAAATGCAGGATAGCAGTCCAAAGCCATACATAGATGTAGACAGTACGATGTGAGAGCAATATGCATGATTCAAGAGTGAGTGAGTGAGTGAGGTTTTATGCAGTTTTTAGCTTTATTCCAGCAGCATCCTAGCTGGGGACACCAGAAATAGGCTTGACGCATTGTATCTATTAGGCAACCAAACCTGGGTGTGGGGCATGGTTGTGTGTCATGCAAACGAAGAATATTTGGGAGCATCATGTGAGGGATCTGTCTGTGCTGGTACACTCTACATGCTAAAGGCATCATACCTCTCTAATTCACACACAAACCAAAACTAAATTCTGGAAAGGTTTGATTGTCAATTTAGTAATCAAACTGCATCAACATTTATCACAACATAACAATGAGCTGATGCCACTGACAATAATAATAGCACTGAAAGACAAATGGGCAAATGTTATTGTGATCATAACATGCCAAATTATTCTCCAGGTTCCAGGGGTTTGTAAAAACAGTTTTAGTAATTCTTTAGGTAGAGACACAGCCTTCAATATGCTTGTTCAAGAATATAACTGTCCAACATGCCAAAATAATAACACTCCACAATGTACAACAATATTGAACACTATATTTATAAAAATATGAATTTCATGAAAACCGCAATCTAAATACCAAAATTGCAATATGAATATACCAAATTTCATACTGTAGTGTTAGGCAAATAGCAAAATCCTCTTTCCACAGATAAAGGGGCTAGTCTTGCGCAGATTGTTTCTGAACTCTTTCCAATTAACATTGTGGATATATGTCTGGGAGATGCACACATTGTACATTATTCAATAAAATGAGCATTAGATGAAAGACACATTATCTCATTTCACATAAATGTAAATACACTTCTGCTATAACAAGGCAGATATTCACAACCATGTACAAACTCCTCTCCTGCAAACTGATGTGTCTGATGATCTTTGATTCAACAGACACAATGTTTAAGGAAAACTTTCATAAGTAAAAACGATCATTTTGGTTGAAATTTCTCACCATAGTTCAGCAATACATATAAAAACATAGTGAGAAAATGCATTTCATTTTCAAAATCCATCATAGAAAAATAAAAAGTCATATACACATAACAAAGTCAATGAACAAAGCATTAACTAATACAAAGAAGCATGAAATGTCAAATACTATTTTCAGATGTCATGTATAAGACTTTGAAGGCCATAATTTGTTTAATTAACTCAATATTTCTATGTATCTTTGGTTACATTACACTGACATACAAAAATGTGAAAGATACAGACAGTGCCTGGTTGACCTGAAGTGAACAGTATATCACAGTCTTCTTGGTACATAGCTAAATGAAATATTTCAGATATCAGTCTGTAGTTAATCAAGTTTGGACCACACAAGTCAGCAACTAACATTATGAGCATTGATCTACACAATTGGGATAGGATGACAGGTATATAATCAAGTCAGCAAGCGTCACACCCAATCCCTTATGTCAAATCTTACGACAAGCATGGGTTGCTGAAGGCACATTTTAACCTGAATCTCTACATAATAATGCTGGCTGGATGAGTCAAACATTGAAAACTATCCACAGGAATGTCACTGTTTCTTGTTCAAAGGAGTGACTTGGGCATTAAATACTTTCTGATAGAGGATCAGCCAGAGTCCGAGAGATCCAACATGAAGGAGACGGAGGAAGGGCATGGCTGTTGATGCAACAGGCTGGGTGTAGAAGTCCAGCTTCACCAGCACGATGTCCCCTACAAGGAACATCACGCAGCGACACACTTCCATCATAATACCCAAGTTACTGAAACAAAATCACATTTTCAGTCACTGACTTTCAGTGTTGGTGTATTACTGAGATCAATCATTATTGTCTTCAAGTCATGTATGTATACAGTGAATCCTTGCTGACTCCAACTGCTTTGGACATCAGTAGTAGAACTGGAGTGAATCCACTTTGAGGCAAATATGATACATATCACAAATATTGGTTAACATTTACAATAACAAGTTAGCAGTTGATGCATTATATCATATTATATTATATTATATATTATATTATATCAAAGTGATTGCAAATATTGAATTGATTTCATAAAGGCTTATGATTCGATTCACTGAATACATGAATAGTAAGTGAGTGAGTTTTACACCACACTCAGCAATATTCCAGCTATATGACGGCGGTCTGTAAATAATCGAGTCTAGACCAGACAATCCAGTGATCAACAGCATGAGCCTTGATCTGTGCAGTTGAGATACGATGACATGTGTCAACCAAGTCAGCGAACCTGACCACCCAATCCCGTTAGTCGCCTTCTACGACAAGTATGGGTTACTGAAGAATAGTGAAGATCAATTCTAACGGGGATCTTCAGGGGTGGAATACGTTTATAAACTACAGCAGCAATGTAACATATGTTTTTATATTTGGGATTACACTTTCTTAGTAAAGTACAGATTCTAGTACTTTTTGGGTTGAGTCCCATCCGGGATTCGAACCCACATTGGGTATGATCACTGATTACCAAAATATTTCAAATTGTGCTTTTATTCAGGAGGTGCTTAATTAATGCTCATGTGTATATAATATATTTCCACATAAAAATGTTGATGTTTGTAAGTACACTGACTAGTATCATTTATGTTGGTGTTCATGTTACCACGTTTGTATTGATACAAAGGAAATTTCAAGGAAATCTTAAGATCAGTAGACTCATTAAAGGCATAAATGTGACATTAATTTTGCAGACAACATCATCTAACAATCTGTACAATGTATTGTTTCCTTACTTCCTATCGAAGAGCCGTCCATATGTTGAGAGTGAGTAGCCTATGAACGTAACGAACATCAACAGGTAGGTCTGGCAGAACATCTGGAACACAAATGGAACAAAATTGTCTAAAATGTCAACATTATCTCTGCCATGGCTAATAAATTGTCATCCATTTCATGTATCAGCCCATCTTTGAAATACATGTATAACGTATTAAAATTCAACGGATCACTTGAAAATGTTAGGACGTCATCATAAACAATGTATCAATGAATAATTTGGCGCTCTTCATCAATTTCTTTTCTACAAGCCATATTTACAAGATTTTCAATTGATCGGTATGCTAGCTTCACTGTATTGCTTATCATGAAACACGATTAATATATTTGTGTAAAATTAGAATGAGCCTAAACTGTCAAGTCCTGAGAGTTAACATCAACACCTCTTGTGAGTCAACTCACAGAACAGGAAACATTTAATGCAAATACAGTGCACACACATTAATATTAAACTGCTGATTGCAATATCAAAGAAAAGGAATCACACTATTACACTTCAGATTAAAATGATTTGCCATTCTGTCTTACCTTTTTAGTTTCAAAGAGAATTTGATATCCCACAAAGGTGAGGAAGAAGTGCACAGCAACATAGACTTTGAGCCACAGCGGGACTGAGGGATTGTACTGCTTCTCTGGGGCATGAACCTGTAACATGAACACACATGGTGGATTACAGCAGGACTACGGGATTGTACTGCTTCTCTGGGGCATGAACCTGTAACATGAACACACATGGTGGATTACAGCAGGACTGGGGGGATTTTACTGCTTCTCTGGGGCATGAACCTGTAACATGAACACACATGGTGGATAACAGCAGGACTGGGGGGATTGTACTGCTTCTCTGGGGCATGAACCTGTAACATGAACACACATGGTGGATTACAGCAGGACTGGGGGGATTGTACTGCTTCTCTGGGGCATGATCCTGTAACATGAACACACATGGTGGATTACAGCAGGACTGTGGGGATTTTACTGCTTCTCTGGGGCATGAACCTGTAACATGAACACACATGGTGGATTACAGCAGGACTGGGGATTGTACTGCTTCTCTGGGGCATGAACCTGTAACATGAACACACATGGTGGATTACAGCAGGACTGGGGGGATTTTACTGCTTCTCTGGGGCATGAACCTGTAACATGAACACACATGGTGGATTACAGCAGGACTGGGGGGATTTTACTGCTTCTCTGGGGCATGAACCTGTAACATGAACACACATGGTGGATTACAGCAGGACTGGGGATTGTACTGCTTCTCTGGGGCATGAACCTGTAACATGAACACACATGGTGGATTACAGCAGGACTGGGGATTTTACTGCTTCTCTGGGGCATGAACCTGTAACATGAACACACATGGTGGATTACAGCAGGACTGGGGATTTTACTGCTTCTCTGGGGCATGAACCTGTAACATGAACACACATGGTGGATTACAGCAGGACTGGGGATTGTACTGCTTCTCTGGGGCATGAACCTGTAACATGAACACACATGGTGGATTACAGCAGGACTGGGGGATTGTACTGCTTCTCTGGGGCATGAACCTGTAACATGAACACACATGGTGGATTACAGCAGGACTGGGGATTGTACTGCTTCTCTGGGGCATGAACCTGTAACATGAACACACATGGTGGATTACAGTGGGACTGGGGATTGTACTGCTTCTCTGGGGCATGAACCTGTAACATGAACACACATGGTGGATTACAGCAGGACTGGGGGGATTGTACTGCTTCTCTGGGGCATGAACCTGTAACATGAACACACATGGTGGATTACAGCAGGACTGGGGGATTGTACTGCTTCTCTGGGGCATGAACCTGTAACATGAACACACATGGTGGATTACAGTGGGACTGGGGATTGTACTGCTTCTCTGGGGCATGAACCTGTAACATGAACACACATGGTGGATTACAGTGGGACTGAGGGATTGTACTGCTTCTCTGGGGCATGAACCTGTAACATGAACACACATGGTGGATTACAGCAGGACTGGGGATTGTACTGCTTCTCTGGGGCATGAACCTGTAACATGAACACACATGGTGGATTACAGCAGGACTAGGGGATTGTACTGCTTCTCTGGGCATGAACCTGTAACATGAACACACATGGTGGATTACAGTGGGACTGAGGGATTGTACTGCTTCTCTGGGGCATGAACCTGTAACATGAACACACATGGTGGATCACAGCGGGACTAGGGGATTGTACTGCTTCTCTGGGGCATGAACCTGTAACATGAACACACATGGTGGATCACAGCAGGACTAGGGGATTGTACTGCTTCTCTGGAGCATGAACCTGTAACATGAACACACATGGTGGATTACAGCAGGACTAGGGGATTGTACTGCTTCTCTGGAGCATGAACCTGTAACATGAACACACATGGTGGATTACAGCAGGACTGGGGGATTGTACTGCTTCTCTGGAGCATGAACCTGTAACATGAACACACATGGTGGATTACAGTGGGACTAGGGGATTGTACTGCTTCTCTGGAGCATGAACCTGTAACATGAACACACATGGTGGATTACAGCAGGACTGGGGGATTGTACTGCTTCTCTGGAGCATGAACCTGTAACATGAACACACATGGTGGATTACAGCAGGACTAGGGGATTGTACTGCTTCTCTGGAGCATGAACCTGTAACATGAACACACATGGTGGATCATAGTGGGACTGGGGGGATTTTACTGCTTCTCTGGGGCATGAACCTGTAACATGAACACACATGGTGGATCATAGTGGGACTGGGGGATTGTACTGCTTCTCTGGAGCATGAACCTGTAACATGAACACACATGGTGGATCATAGTGGGACTAGGGGATTGTACTGCTTCTCTGGAGCATGAACCTGTAACATGAACACACATGGTGGATTACAGCGGGACTGAGGGATTGTACTGCTTCTCTGGAGCATGAACCTGTAACATGAACACACATAGTGGATTACAGCAGGACTGAGGGATTGTACTGCTTCTCTGGAGCATGAACCTGTAACATGAACACACATGGTGGATTACAGCAGGACTAGGGGATTGTACTGCTTCTCTGGAGCATGAACCTGTAACATGAACACACATGGTGGATTACAGGAGGACTGGGGGATTGTACTGCTTCTCTGGGGCATGAACCTGTAACATGAACACACATGGTGGATTACAGCAGGACTAGGGGATTGTACTGCTTCTCTGGAGCATGAACCTGTAACATGAACACACATGGTGGATTACAGCAGGACTGGGGGGATTGTACTGCTTCTCTGGAGCATGAACCTGTAACATGAACACACATGGTGGATCATTGTGGGACTAGGGGATTGTACTGATCTGGAGCATAAAACTGTAACATGAACACACATGGTGGATTACAGCAGGACTGGGGGATTGTACTCCTTTTTTCGAGCATGAACCTGTAACATGAACACACATGGTGAATCACAGTGGAACAGGGGATTGTACTGCATGAACAATGAGTAGTATTGATACATTACACTTACATCAGGAATATCACTCAGTTCTCCAGTTCTTGGTTTTCCAGGTGCCCATCCGGGGCCAAATAACAAAGTGCACATTTTGTTGGACACCCCTTTTATTTCATTGAACCTCTCAAGCATGTACTTCAGGAATCCAAACTGGAAAATAGGTACAAACAACATCATAGCCAAGCCTACTATGTCATGAATAAAGAATACTAAATAATGACTGACTTATCAACATATTCATTCAATAACAGCGCCCAAGGGAATTTGTTGCCACTTTAATTTGTTTGAGTAGTTCATTCTGCTACTATAATCTGAAAATGATTGGGCACATAAGGATACTTATTTCAGTAACTACTATCACAATGCTGTTTCATTTCTTTTCAACAATTTGAGTTTTCTAAATGCTTTCTGTAATATGAACATATTACCAGGTGAGACTCTGGTGAGACAAGTACACTGATTTAGAGAAAGGGGAGACAACTGAATTGTGCAAACAGGCGCATTACTATACTGATATATTACATACCAAACATGAAAGGCAAGTGTAACGTGTGATCATCGAGGTCACAACAGTCCATGCCATCCGGGCAAGATGACACACACTCATCTAGGTCAAAAATGGCCACTACCAAATTTTTTAACAGAAAGAAAGTCAATATTTCAATGTTCATTCACACGGAAGTGATCACGAACCTGAACCCAGAACTGGTCAAATGTGTTGAGTGGATGGGTAAGGCCATATACAACCTCTTCAACCTCAGGTTCGAAGGTACCTTAAAAACAATATGAACAAAATGTCTTATAATGATCAACACAAAAAATCAGCTGTATTTAACATTAACAACATGTATGATTGATAGTATGTTCATTCACACTGCCTCTAAATAATCAGGTCTGGACCAGACAATCCAGTGACTGACATTACCATCATCAATCTACACAATAGGCAATGATAACAGCCATCCATCTGATTAACCCATCCCATTAGCAACCTCTTACAACAGTGTATGAAATAAGCCAAAAGCCCAGCCAGACATCAGGGCTAGTAACTTCAAAATGTTACCAGCCCAAAATGGATTTAACCAGACCAAATATGGTGAATTTACTCAGATATATGGAACATCTACAATTTTTACCAGACCATCGGGTTGGCTAGCTGTAAATTTAGACCGTCCGTCAGAAATCTAGACCGTCTCGGGCCTTATTTCATACACTGCTTACAAGTAACATTGCTGAAGACTGTCCTGTAAACTGTATGAGACATATCAACTTATATCCTTAGAGAAAGCCATACTGTGACATTCAACCTAATGGTTCTTCATGAAAGACTACCCTAACCTGACACATGATAGAAAAGTGAAAACGTCTCCTGAAAATATTTATGTACTTTGTTGTTTTGTCAAAGTGTATCTTGTCTCCTAACTGTACACAGAGCAACCTGTCATAATGACTTACCAAATATTCTGTCCCAGATGATGAGAGTCCCTGCATAGTTCTTGTCTATACAGTATCTGTTCCTCCCATGATGCACTCGGTGGTGACTCGGAGTGTTCAGGATGTACTCCAGTGGTCCTAGAGATCTCACATACTGGAACAGTGAGTCAACCACTATTCAGCCTACTACAGGGTTGAATCCCTTTACTGGATTGGAACATTAACTGTGACATGAAACATGATTCAGAGATCTCACATACTGGAACAGTGAGTCAACCACTACTCAGTCTACTACAGGGTTGAATCCCTTTACTAGATGGGAACATTAACTCTGATATGAAACATGATTCAGAGATATCACATACTGGAACAGTGAGTCAACCACTACTCAGTCTACTACAGGATTGAATCCCTTTACTAGATGGGAACATTAACTCTGATATGAAACATGATTCAGAGATCTCACATACTGGAACAGTGAGTCAACCACTACTCAGTCTACTACAGGATTGAATCCCTTTACTAGATGGGAACATTAACTCTGATATGAAACATGATTCAGAGATCTCACATACTGGAACAGTGAGTCAACCACTACTCAGTCTACTACAGGATTGAATCCCTTTACTAGATGGGAACATTAACTCTGATATGAAACATGATTCAGAGATCTCACATACTGGAACAGTGAGTCAACCACTACTCAGTCTACTACAGGATTGAATCCTTTTATAATGCATCAACCACTACTGTAGTTTCTTGTTTAATGTCACAATCAACAATATTCCAGCCATATGATTGCAGTCTGTAAATAAGCAAGTCTGTCCCAGACAATCAAGTGATTTACATCTTTAGTATTGATCCACACAACTAGGATACAATGACATGCATCAGTGAGCATGACAGCCTGTTCTTAACAGTTCCCACTAATGACAATCATGTGTTGCTGAAGACCAATTCTAACCAAGATTTTCACTTGGTTACAAGTAAACTAGTAAAGGTTACTAGCAAAGTGTAGGACATCAGCACATGATCAACCAATTTATGGCTGTACAAATATATAGAGTGTGCATTCAGAATCTCAGGTAGTGGCACCAGTCCCCCAACACCAAACCCTGTCAGCATGGTTACCCTTCCTTGTGCCTTTACTAATTGACCATGCTATGATCATGGTGATCTGACTGACCTCTGTATGGATCCAGAACTGGTACAGGATGTTGAGCTCATGGTGAAGGATGAACATCGGAGGAGGGATGAACAGAGCAAATGGGAGGTAGAACACCTGAAGAAAATGCCAGGTATGCTTACATGAAAGTGACATAAGGAATTATATGATGCCACCCCGAGACGGCAATATTCCAGCTCTATCATCCCACATTACATCAAGACCTGCAGCTGACTGAAGACCATTCATTCACCCTGGATATCCTGCCTCGGCTTATTCCGGAAGCTAAACCATTGTTCCAGCTATATGACTCTTTCTATCAGTGACTTAACTGTCATTACCGCAACTAACTTATTACATAATGTCACTGAATATTAAAACGCCACTCTATTAAGTAATTACTTTGCACTATTTTTAAATAAGTATTGACTTGTAAGCCTAATTAGTTTTAGAATAAAAATGTTTGATTGTAAACCAAAAGTCACTGTGTTCTTTAATCTGATTGGTTGAAAAACGTGATCAAATGGTATTTGATTCCCGGAAATTCTCTGCGTATTAATACATACAAACATCGCTCACACCATTGTATTGTTACGTCGTCAGCTGTGATGACGTCATTAAAATCATATTGTGACATAAAGTCCGAATGACGTCACAAATGAGCAGTTCCAGATGTTACCGTGGGTGACAGCCGAAACGGCCGGCTGATGACATTTCACTGCTGTACCCGTACTCGATGTCAATGAGAGCAGACACAAAATACGTGTGTGGACCTTTTGGTTTACTTTTGTGTTTACAATGTCGATAAACATCATGTGTTGGCCAATTTCCGGGTGTTATTGAGTATTTGAAGCACGGGAATTCATTTGAAACCTCCGGCTGACGCCGTCGGTTTCAAATGAAATATTCCCGTGCTTCAGCCGGAGGTTTCAAATGAAATATTCCTGTGCTTCAAATACTCAATAACACCCGGAAATTGGCCAACACATGATGTTTATCTCCTAATTGTATAACATTTCTTTGGGTTTTTTACTTTTCACACTGAATTGTTTTAAGTACAGATTTCTGGGGTTTTATATCCTTTCACTTGGAAACTGATGAGTAAACATACCAACACACATACACTACATCAGTAACAAACCAGTGATGTGTGTACCGAACTGTGGTGCACCTGTATTTCATCTGTGTTTAAATAAAGTAGCTCTTACCCATGATGTATATCCCTGTAACATCGACTGCCTCAAAGCTGTTGTAAAATTGTAGTATTCAGAGCTGTGATGGACCTGGTGAGCAGCCCACATAAAATTCACCTCTGAAACACAAAGACTTCTTAACTGTAGGTATATGACATGTAAGTTTATTACAGGTACTGAACTTATTAACATGTTATAACATGCAGGTATACAAATGTGCTACAGGGCTGGGTGTGGCCTTTGGAGATAAGTGGGGTCTGCAACTTTATCAATTAGTCAGAAGCCACTGTCTCACAAAATGTCTCCTGATCCAGTCAGATCATCTTGTACTGAGACTAAAAGATACTGAATACAATTTCGTTCTCGTAGACACAAAGATTTTGGTAAGGACTAAAAGTGTGCATCTACCAATGTTCTGCATGTCATTTCACCATAGTTAGAGATGGGTCTGTCATATCACCTGCTTGACAAGGGATTTACAATTTACATTGACACATCGCATTTATTGTTACAAAGACAGAGTAACCAGGGGTGGAAATAACTTTAAAATTGCTAGTGTACTCCGGTACAGTGGCACATGTAAAATCACTTGCCCTTATAATTATTCTGCTATACCGGCTGATTTTTTTGGTGATTTTTTTAAATAAACAAAATGATTAACATTAGAATGTCAACTGGGCACCAGTACAGCATGATGTACAAATGTGCTTGCCCGACAAAAACCCACTGGACTCGGACGTCGGGCAATGGGTTATTTCCACCCCTGGAGTACATCCAGAAAACTATCCCCTATATAGTATATTCATTATACCAACTTCTAGATACACCTTTTATAGAAGTTAAACCTCTTCTTTGTAAAGAAGAAATTGGTGTTCCATATACTGTATCCTTACTAAGTTATGCCTGCTCCTTTTTAACACTGTTCAATTCCTGAATCCCAGGTTTATCTTCTGCAAAGTTCTATTCACATAAGTACATACTCTTTTAGTAAACACAAGCCCAAGATATTTTTGATAAAAACATATCATTTCTAAGTCAAGCAGCAAGAACTTATCTTGACCATACCATTAGTACTCTTACAAAACAGTTTTCAAAATCTGTCATATAAAATAAATTAAATACTGAAATATACATGTACATAATGTTTTAAACATGCAAGTATATATCAGATAAAGAAACAAATGCTAGGTAAAACACAGTTACATACCATGTGCCATACGATGGAACCAGTAATACCCTAGGTCCACGGCCAGGAAGCACAACCACCAGGTGTATGGAGAGTCCCATGGTAACACATGAATCTGAAAGTTCTCATGCACCCATATGTATGCTGCAATATGAAGGGATCTGAAGAAGAGTCTGAAAACAAACAACACATCTGAGTTAGTTAGATAAGCATCTCAGCTATTAGGCAGGAAATTGTACACCATACAAGAAATGGCAAGGTCATTTATTGATGAGTCAAATGGTTTATAATCCCAAGTGCACATACTCACAAAGGAAGCCTAGAAAACATTCCTGCTCCAACAGAAGTGAGTCCATCATTGAGACTTCTTTTGCCATCACCTCGAAGAAGCATTACAATGAACTCAACCGCTATAAAGCCCAGAAAGAAAGGGGCTGCCTGTAATAAGACAATGATAAATTCTGATTAAAAACAGACCTAATATGCATTTCAACCAGTTAATCAAATATATGAATTCAGTCCAACATGAGACCTAGCATATGAGAAATGGAATATTGGGCTGATAATAACAAAGTATGTACAAACATGGTTATTGTTATTGGAATCTACCTAAAGATAAGTTGTGTCTTTGTTTTTAAAGATAAATTACAAATAACAGAGGGATTTATCTAGGTCTGCTCAGAGGCCAACAATCAGTCCCACATCTTCAACAAATGTCAGTAAATATACCCATATTATAACAAGTGTTTGCCACTGATATGGCAATGTCACCCGCCGGTAAAGAATGGAATATCTATATTTATTACTTTTAATTTTTTGGTCACATACAAGATGCCTGAAATGATTGGTGTCTGCCTAATCACCCAATCTAGGCTGTCAACATAATTGAAAACATTGGCTGCAATGTTTTATGAGATATCGTGTTTAAATAAGTTTGAAAAGCGGTCAAAGTGTCGTGGTGACCTTGAACTTGAAGATAAGGTCATGGTTACCCAAATAAACTGGTGTCTGTGTAATCCCCCAATGTAGGATGTCACCAAATTTGAAGACATTGGGTATAACGGTCCATGAGATATCGCATTAACAAGAGTTTGAAAAGTGGTCAAAGTGCCGTGGTGACCTTGAAGATAAGGTCAAGGTCACCCAAATAAACTGGTGTCTGTGTAATCCCCCAATGTAGGATGTCACCAAATTTGAAGACATTGGGTACAACGGTCCATGAGATATCGCATTAACAAGAGTTTGAAAAGTGGTCAAAGTGCCGTGGTGACCTTGAAGATAAGGTCAAGGTCACCCAAATCGACTGGTGTCTGGGTAATCCCCCAATGTAGGCTGTCACCAAATTTGAAGACATTGGGTACAACAGTTCATGAGATATCTCGTTAACATGAGTTTGAAAAGTGGTCAAAGTGCCGTGGTGACCTTGAAAATAATGTCAAGGCCACCCAAATCGACTGGTGTCTGCGTAATCCCCTTATGTAGGCTGTCACCACATTTGAAGACATTAGGTACAACAGTTCATGAGATATCGCGTTAACAAGAATCGGGACGTACGGACGCCACTGAATACATAGTCCCCCATTCCGCGTTGCGTCGGGGGACAATTACAAAATTTCCAGATCATGTAATACTGTTATGAATAACTGTGTCTGTTGTACAGCAACTATACATGTGACTGACCAATTTGAGCAAAATAACAATTTTAACAGATGGAAGTCATGGTGGCTGAGTGGATTAGATGGCTGACTTTGTATGCCTGACTATGAGGGTTTTGCGTTCGGAATCCTGGAAGGGGTTCAACCCAACGAAAGTACTAGAATCTGTACTGTACAGAGAAAGTGTAATCCCAAATATAACATGTGTTACATTTGACCACTTTCTAAATGGCATTGTGTATACACATGGTCATATTGATAAACCCATAAAGAACTGATGTAACAATCTCTTTGTGAACCAGTCCATGTTAACCATTTAAACTGCCAATAACGACCTTCAACTTCACTGATAGCAAATTAGCATGATTAGTACATTAACATCAGAGTTGGAGTCTTGGCTTTGAGGAGGAAGTTGAATGTAATTGATTGTGTTAATGTATAGGTGTATTTTTTGGAAAAGTGCTATTTTCACAAGTTAAATGTTAATATATCAAGAAACTGTCCATCGACAGTACAGAAATTACCATGCTAGCATTTTCCATATATTTTATATTCAGATTCAATCACACTCACAATATATTTCAAGAAAGTAATGCAGTGGAGGATATACATGGAAGTTTCCCTTCATAATTTGTTCATTACCATTGACAAACACTTTATAGCAAACAGAAATTGAGGACTAGGTATTTAGAAACAGCACTCAGTATATTTAACATTAACATTTAACAGTTCCAGTTGAAAGCTTAATGTAAGAACAGGAAAGCCCCAAGCAGATTTCAGATGTGAACCACTTTGGTGAACTCAGTGAGCACTGGCATGGTACTGGCAAACCTAGAAACATTACCTGGGCTAACGAGAATCAAACCTACACTTAATGGCTTCTGGCGTGCTTAATGGATAAGACAACAAAACAAACAAATCAGCAAACTGAGGTGCCTCAGATGACTAAGCCATCCATGCCTTGAATCATTTAAGAACTATCACAGTTGATCAGATAATGCAAAAATAATCATACATTTCATACATATGTAGCAGTGCTTTTATTAATATTGCCTCAAAAGGGAAACACGGCTACAGATATCATAATTTGTCAAACTCTAAATCATGTCTAGATAAAAGATCTATAGAGCTAATATGTATTTCACTTACAAAATGTCCAAATTTTAAAAAGTAGTAAGATTTTTCACAAGCACTTGTTTACAATCAGCAAAGATATCTGAGGAATTTGTTCTTCAGAATATGCAGTCCGCTTCTTGCAATTACATTGGATCCTGATTCATATTGTTGTAAACAGATTAATTAGCCCATATCGTATGTGTTTGCATAATCATCTGATCAACACATATTCCCGATGCAGCTTTAAAAACTATAAAAATATATTTCATTCAGGAAACTATGTTTTCATTTTAATCTTTAATGTAAAATCTTTAACACCAAACGTTATCAAAATACAAATGTTACTGTAAATCATATATTACATGAATGCCACTACAGTCCGTTTGAGTCAGAAACGGACCGATGAATTGCAAATTTTATCATTGTACAAAATTGCCACATAAATATAAATAGTACACATGTTTATCATTTACTAATACCCAACCGCTTTCTTATATTTGAAAATTTTCCGGACTCCACCAAAAAAGTTGTTTAAGAAACTATCATCATTGAAAACGCAAAATGTTGTTATCTGTCGCGGCGGGGTGAAACCGCAGATACGGAACAGCCACTATCTCGTCGTGACACGGGATACGCATGCCTGATGAAAAATGAAGTTGAATACTGACGTGAAACAGTTGATGATTAAAGTGTAATGATTTTTCCATGCTGAAGCCGAAAAGGGGCAAACCATTTTATGCCATATTAATAAATACCGTAAGCGGGCATCAAAAGCTTTAGGAGTATCAGCAAGGGTACTGACAAATGTTCTGGAACACAAACATTGTGAGGGTGACGCGAAGCAGGTAGGGGTTGTGTCAAAATCACACAAATTAAAACATTTGGACAACTTTCAAAAGAACCGTGTAAGGCAGTCTATCAACAAGCTCTATTCTGAAAACAAATACATGTCGCTGAAAATTTTTAAAAGCATTTGAAGCAAGAACACAACCTCAGAGTATCAAAGTACACACTCTGGCGACTCTTACACTCTTTCGGGTATCGTTATAAGAAAATTTCGGGGGAAGAATAGGTCAGTACTCTGTGAACGCCCTGATATCGTTTGCTTGAGAAATAATTTTCTCAGGGTTATAAAGAAGAAGCGCGAGGAAGGGTTCAAGCCAGTGTACTTGGACGAGACCTGGGTCAATGCCTCGCACACTGCCAGCAGTCAGTGGGTTCCCGATGGGGGTGATAAGGGGTCACGTAGAAAGCTGCCTCTAGGGAAAGGAGAGAGACTAATCATTCTCCATGCTGGTTGCTCCAGCAAAGGCTTTCTCCCAGGCTGCGACTTGGTATTCAGGGCAAAGTCCACAGATAACAGAGACTACCATTCCCAGATGAATGGTGCGGTTTTCCTCGATTGGGTTAAAAACAAGTTGGTACCAGCTCTACCAGAGAAGTCTTTTATCGTAATGGACAATGCCCCATACCACAGCGTGCAGGACCCCGACAGTAAAGCCCCGACATCGAACAGTCGAAAAGGTGATATGATATCATGGCTGGACAAATTTCAGATCGCGACGCCTTCAAAGGCAACGTAAGCCTCAGCTATATGAGATCATAAAAACCCACAAAGGTGAACCTTTCTACAAAGTTGACAGTTACATAAAAAGTAAGGGTCACGATATTCTGCGACTTCCACCCTATCACTGTGACCTTAACGCCATTGAAATGATATGGGGTATTGTCAGAGGAGATGTTGCTAGATCAAACACAACTTTTAGATTACGTGACGTAGAGGTTTTGGTTGAGGAATCCTTAACAAAATCACGACTGAAACTTGGCAAAACTGTGTCAACAAGGTAGCTAACGTCATTGAACAAGGTTACTGGTCTCGGGATGGCATACAACAGGCAACTGTGGCACCACTTGTCATCCCTTTAAGTCGTGACTATGACACTACGACGGACGAGGAACCGACAGGTCTCCCGGAATAGATTTTGAGATGTCCCCAGCCATGACTGGCTGTTCCGTATCTGCGGTTTCACCCCGCCGCGACAGATAACAACTTTTGCGTTTTTAATGATGATAGTTTTTTAAACAACTTTTTTGGTGGAGTCCGGAAAATTTTCAAATATAAGAAAGCTGTTGGGTATTAGTAAATGATAAACATGTGTACTATTTATATTTATGTGGCAATTTTGTACAATGATAAAATTTGCAATTCATCGGTCCGTTTCTGACTCAAACGGACTGTATATTGCATTTAGTTTAAAATTATTAGTTTTCGCAAAAGACAAATGAAGAAAATTATTTGTCTGAAATATTTACTTTGTAAACGCAAGTCATGTGCACTGCATTAAATGTTACAAATAAAACCATTGGATAGTTCTTGCTATCCTATGAAAAGAAACAATTTCTTTAAAATATTAAGCTAAAATCCATAATATGTCATAAAGTTAGCTGAAATTTTACTTCCTGTGATTGTTTCTTGGCCGCTAAACTTGTTCGATTGAAAACTTCTATCCAGCCGTGGATCATACAACTGGACACGTAAAACTGTGTTGACAAGCAAGAAGGAAAACAATTTTACTTTTGCTGGTGATATAAAGCTAGATATATCTATACTTTGCCCCGTACTTTGGTATACTTACTTCTTTTATGTACTTAGGTACATCTTCAGCTTTCTCAAACGAGGTTTCATTTGGTGTTACGAAATAAAACATTCGCCTAAAGCCACTTGTTACTTGAACATTCCACATCCAATCCATCGTTGTGTTTTCCTGGAACAAAGGTCACACTGCCTCTTTGATTTTAAGTTATGTCTAGGTTGTAAATAAAGCAAATGAAATATCAAGCAAACCAGCTGATAACAAACTGCAGACGACGCGACCGGTGTTATGCTATGATTGATCTTCCTATTAAAAAAATCCACAACCACATGACCATAAATGTTTCTGTGAACAGCTGCTGAAAAGTTAATATTGTTATTGACTTCTGTCTCTACTCTCAGCCTTTCCTGCTTCTCGTCATTATATTTCCTGCTATAAGTATAACGTGAATTTGCTTCATTCACTGGCCTAAATATTTATAGGGAATATTTCAATGTAACACCGGGTCAAAGTTATATAAACCACTTACAACATTTGAGAAACAAAAATAATTCTTATTACAAATTCAGACTCTATTTACAATATTTTATTAGTTTTATCATAAACATTTTGCATATTTCAATCATATTATGATGATATGTTTTTTTTATAATAAGTACTCAATCTATTTTTATGTGTTGTATGTGATTTATCGTCCTTGTAAAAAGGGAGGCTATTCTAATCATGTAAACATTGTCCAAGGACACAGCTCCCTTCGTTCAGTTCATCAGTTGTTTGTTACTGTAGGTAAGAAGTTCTTGTTCGATACGATCTCGTGCCACATGAAGCACCAGTGAAAATAGAAACAAAATGGCTGTACGTTTGTACGCTCACAATATTCATATTCCGACACGACAGCCTTATCAGACTGGCTTAGTCTGTCCCTAATTATCACTGTCAATCTGAAAGGGTGTCGCTGTCACCACGATAAAGTCGATTGATAACTTGATTGTGGTAATCCGTTTATGATGTTTGTAGGAGAATATCATCAACAAGAGCTGTCCCTGTAGGTTGTTTGTGTATGTGAAATACTCAAACTGCAGATAATGTGCATAGTTTACCCCTTTTTATGTTGCAGTGACTTTTGTCTGTGTAAGTGATTTAGTATTTTGTCAGAGAGGAAGGTTTTAGTGGATATACGTATGTACACGTACTGTGTTTAATGCCCATGTGCCTGTACACATTTTTTTCAGTAGGTTTTATAATTCCTAATAGTTTCTCATAGATTCTTATTGACTGGATGTTTTGTGTATTGCCTATTTATTAAATGCTTGATTTTAGTTCTGTAGTATGTAGCATGTGACAGTTGAATCAACATTATTCTTTTCTCTCTGTACTAATGTGTAATACCCCAAGCATTTTATATCTATAGTTTGTGTATGTGTTTGTTGTAAAAATAGCATACGAGGGGATATCAAGAAGTTCTAATTATCACCATGAATTTATTGAGAAATTATGACGAAAATTTAAAGGTAACATCAGTGATCTTTATCTAGTTATTGGACCAAAACTATTTACATCACTTTGTTCAATCTTGATTCAAAACATGAGTAACCCCATGTATGGAGAAAATTGAGGCACGCAGTGTTATCATGTTTTTGCACTTGAAGGGTTGCATTGCCCGACAGATTCACGAGGAGATGAAATCTGTTTGTGGTGAAGATAGTCCATCTTATGATACTGTTGTGAGATGGCAAAGGCATTTTCAAACTGTTCATATGTCCCTCACAGTTGAGCCAAGATGCGGACTCCGTTTTAACGATACCAATGAGGTCATTGAAGAGGTGGAGGGTTGGTTTTCCATGAAATCAGGGGGGTCTGTTCTGTCAAGAACTGTTGGGAGAAATGTGTCACTCTGGATGGTGTAGAGAAGTCTAAGGACAAGAAATCAAAATAAGGTTTCTACCCTGAATACGTCTTGGTGATTATTAGAAATATTTGATACCCACTGGTATCCCTACAATTTAGTAAACAACTGTTTTAGCTTGTTGCAAAATGTTTTTATACATTATTCTAATGGTCATGTCATGATTCTTGAGGTATGTTTCCATATATTGTTTTAATCTTCAGGACCACAAAATCCATATCATTAGATTTGTATGACAAAGATCCCTTAAGTTTCAGCCATAATTTAGAACACTTTAAGATACTACAGATAAGACCACCCTGACTTTTTCAAGTTAAAAATAGCACATGAAAAAGGCAATGAAAAAATGTTGATTGACTCGCATGATTAAAAATAAGCTTCTTTCAAGACCTCTGCTTGTTAGCAGCAATATTTTAATATTACTCCTTCATAATCATAACTATTTTGTAAACAGTAATGAAGTTATGGGGAGGAAGGGGGGGGGGGATTTTCCCCTTACCTTTGGACTTATTTATGTTCATCCTCCCTTCTCCAAAACCCTGGAACCGCCCCTGCTAGTATACTGTTCAACGCTACATTATACCCAACTCTTGTCACACCGTTCTGTGTCTAATGTATCACTTTGTTAATGTGAGTGCCTCACATGAGATTATGCAGTTAGTATGGCATGTGTAGTCAACCTGGTGTGACAGTAAACTCCAATATGGCTCACTAAAGAAAGTGTTAATGTAAGTGACTGTTTTGTAATAGATTTATGGCTTGTAGTATCCATGGTATCCTCTGAACTATTTCATCCCTCAAATATGAGGGCATTACCTGGTATATGATATTCAAGGTACTAATATTTACCTACACATTTTTAAAGAGAAGTTGCTCTGATAGAGTAGAACCATTGTACCATGTACATCTGGGTGATGTGTGATAAGTTATTTATTTTGTGTAATAATGTATTTTAGGCAGTGGTGAAGTAACAGTGACTGTTTTAGCTAATAAGCAAATTCATTTCATTTCTAGGTTATCTTATTTGAAGTTTGTTCCTCCTGTTCTACATGGCTCAAAGAACGGTTGTGAAAATTGCCACACCCAAACTTCAGAGAGAAGGTGGCGGCTTCCTGGTCCGACGAGTGATTGGAGGAGTAGTGCCAAGATGTGATCCATTCCTGATGTTGGATCACATTGGTGAGCAGAGCATGAGATGGCAAATAATACACTCACCATTCTTTGATGTTTGGAAATATGAAAAGATATTCAGTCTCTTAAAAACAACAAATTAATTGTGAAGAATCTAACATATTTCATCTGTTCAAGTGTTAGCAGTCTGTGAAAGAATGTTTAGTTGTTTGAACTTATCCTTTAAGTTTAACACCTATTACAAAAGATTTTACTTGTGATGTATTGTGCATGTGTAACCATAAACAAAGATAGAATCACTTCTTCATTTGGAAACATACACTTGTAACCAGGTTTGTGCATGGATATATGGGGCGGTGGGGTAGCCTAATGGTTAAAGTGTCAACTCGTCACTCTTAAGAACCAGATTATTCACCACATGGGTACAATGTGTGAAGCCCATTTCTGGTGTTCCCTGGTGTAATATTTCTAAAAGCAGCATAAAACCATACTAACTCACTTCTGCATGGGTGACTGGTTACGGGGGGAGAATGTTTGACTTAAAACCAAACATAATATGTGCATGACTTTGTAAAAGAATATCATGTATCTGCCACATATGTTTATCTGTTACAATCAAAGCTTTACACACTTAGGTCCCTAGACCATTGGTTAAAGTTGAAGAGGACGTTAAATGTGTGGCTGCTCATGTCTAAATGATCTCTTACATTTTTAGGTGCTTATTAGGGGTGGGTATTGCAGAGAATATTCAAATTGCGATATATTGCGATGCGAAAGCATGTATTGCAATATATTGCATGAAGTATTTTTAAACAAAAAACTACTTATAATCGAGGTAATGCTTGATTTATAGAGCAAATACACAGCAAAATCACTATGCTTGATTAAGCTTTGATAACAACTTTTATTCATGATTAAAAATACAAATGTGAATAATATTTGGCACAAATGAAACAAGGAAATATCCGAAGATTTCCGAGTGTTACGAAGTTTTTCGAATGCAAGTCAAAATACCGGTTTTCGATCAGCGTGTCGCAATACGTATCGTTTTCATGTCTGAACAGGTAAATACCAGTAAACCGGTTATATTGCATAGCCCTAGTGCTTACTGTCTTTTTCCTGGACATGAAAATAATGGAAAGTTCACTGTGAATAGTTATGCTGATTGTGTGACAGGGCAAGCTAAGCTTTACCAATGTTTATGTGGGATCATTGGATATTGGATACATCATCAAACTGCCAGACGTATGAGGCAGTGGAATGGTGGGTTTATCATGATTCATTTATAAGATGTTCTACATATTGGTAATAATGAGGAAACATTGGAACTGTTTGAATGTGAATGACAGTACCATCAGTTGTCATGTCTTTGACACAGGTCCAACAGAGCACAAACCGGGCGAGGCTCTTGGTGCCCCAGACCACCCCCATAGAGGGTTTGAGACGGTCACATATGTCATCGATGGGGGAGTCAAGCACCAAGATTCTGCAGGCAACAAAGGTATGTGATGTGGTCTTGTCATCCCTTTCAGTTCTAAGGATGTTATAGATACATGTATCTGGTACTGCAATGATGTTATACATGACATTAAACACTATTTCACCTCATGTGTTGTGTTGTATGAAGGTGTCCTGAAGGCTGGGAGGGGGTGTGGATGACACCTCATGTCTTTGTGTTGTGTGTAGGTGTCCTGAAGGCTGGGTGGGTGTGGTGGATGACACATCATGTCTGTGTTGTGTGTAGGTGTCCTGAAGGCTGGGTGGGTGTGGTGGATGACACATCATGTCTGTGTTGTGTGTAGGTGTCCTGAAGGCAGGGTGGTTGTGGTGGATGACACCTCTTGTCTGTGTGTTGTGTGTAGGTGTCCTGAAGGCAGGGTGGGTGCAGTGGATGACACCTCATGTCTGTGTGTTGTGTAGGTGTCCTGAAGGCTGGTTGGGTGCAATGGATGACAGACACCTCATGTCTGTGTTGTGGGCAGGGTGGTCCACTTGTCTGTGTGTTGTGTGTAGGTGTCCTGAAGGCAGGGTGGGTGCAGTGGATGACACCTTCATGTCTGTGTGTTGTGTAGGTGTCCTGAAGGCTGGTTGGGTGCAATGGATGACAGCCGGCAGTGGAGTGGTCCACTCCGAGATGCCTACAGATGACTTGTTGAAGAATGGGGGTAAACAAGAGGGGTTCCAGCTCTGGGTTAATTTACCATCCAAGGTATGGCTACTATTTTTTATTTAATATAAAGAAACATTGATTTTCTCTTGATATAAAGAAAATGGCAATCAGCTTCTGACCTGTGATGGCTTGTCAGAAACTGAGTGCTACGAGTCTTGATATTAGAATCCCATGTTTTTAAATGATCATAGAAAATAGTTGTTGACATATCATGCATTAACAAAGATAGAATTACTTCTTCATTTGGAAACATACTCTTTGCGATATACTTGCACATGTAGATTTACCAGGTAGAAATATCAGAAGGTTCTGTGTGATGAAGAAGATGGCGTTATTTTGTGTCTGTTTATAGAACAAGATGATGGAGCCACGTTACCAAGAGGTGCCAGCAGAAACTATTCCGTCCGTGAAAACGCCTGATGGCAACGTCATTGTCAAAGTTATTGCAGGAGAATCTCTAGGTAGGACTTCTGTTATCACAGGAGAATCTGTAGGTTGTAGTTTGGTATATTGTATTATCATCAAATGTGACAAGCCAATATGACAGTCTTGGTATCATGGTCGACAATTAGGAAAAGATTGTAAGCATTGTGCTCACATAAGATGATATCAATTCCTAACATGTTTACACTCCAGAAACAAACTCCTTCTTTTTTGTATCAGTCCTGGAGACAGACCTAGCAGTCAAGGACTATGACATTTCCAACAGGGCTATTAACTGTGTGTGTTAGTTTACCTCTATTCCAAATATGAAGTAGGTCAGCTGTCTGGCTGGTGCCTTGGTGCACTGGAAGCCCTCTAAACCGGCAACCCTCCAATCCGGCATGCTCTCAATCCGGCACTAGAATTTGGTCCCGGCAGAAGCTGGTTAATTTATGATCATATACACGCCTACTAATCCGGCGTCAGTCTATTCTGTATTTCAGCACAACAAAGATTACTATCAGCACGAAAAAGGGAAAAGTTCTCTATACCGGCACGCCCTCTTATATTGGCATTTTTGGCCGGTCCCAACGAATGCCGGTTTAGAGGGCTTCCACTGTACTTGATTTCACGTGCATATCTGATGTAGTGTCTTTACCATATGAAATAATGGCGGTCATCTAGCTATACTTGCACACTCGGAAAAAGCTTTTTTATTTTGTAGTATTTGGTAAAATGTGCAAGAAAAAAGGATATTGTATTGATCTCGGTATTTGAAATATTCAAATGCAATAATGTTGTACAAATTCAAATCTCATTCATTGTGTTTCAATATGTACTGGCCAATAATTTTCTTGCCATTGTTTTTGGTTGAAATTGTTTGTACATAATTTTCAATATGTTTCAGTACATAACACATGAAATTGTTAATTCTCTAACATTATGCTACAGGTAATTAATGTTATTCTACATACGAATAACAACACATCATTACAAAGTAATGGAAAATGTCCTTTCAAGTCATGTATTTTTGAACCCCAAATTCTTGGGATTTATCTTGACCTGCTCCCAGGTAGATATCTGGTGCAAGGCCTGCATCAAATGTCAGGAAATATACCCAAAGTGGAAATACAGACTTCCAAGTTCCCACCATATGGTAGAAACTAATGTTTGGTTTTGTACTATCGGCTTGTATTTCACTGACCAATTTGACTAAAATAACAAATTTATTTTATTTACTGTAATTTGTGCAGGAGCCAAGTCGACCATCGAGACACTCATCCCTATCATGTTTCTGGACATCCATCTGAAGGCCGAATCTCAGTTTTCTCAGACAATACCCGAGTCATGCAATGGCTTCGTTTATGTCTGGAGAGGGGCTGGTAAGTCAGTTAGATATCTGGCAGATGTCTAAATGCAAATATATCAGTTAACAACAGATGCGTCAATGTAACATGACATTGTATCCAAGTTCATAATGGTATTAACAAAGGCTCTGTCTTGTATTCTTGTGTTGTGAGTGAAATCCCGTTAGTGAAGAAACTCAGCCAGAAAGACTGCAGAATACCAGATACCTTCTGTCAGCTTTGAAAACATTAGAACTGCGCAAAATATTTGAGCAACCTGACTCGAGTTTTTAGTACTTTGTTATCTTAGTGTACTTTCTCTTTAGCCTTGGATATCTTCTTTAGGGTTAGTTTAACGAATAGGGCTAGGGCTGGTTAAGTTAGAGTTAGGTAACTTGCCCAGATTTCTGTAGCTCCATTTTTTCAAAGACTTATATATTTATATTTGTGATAAGTTACGTTTCATTTTCAAAATCGTTGGTTAAATTTACTAACCGGAAGTCATCCCAAATAATCCGATTTTGATGGTTATTTTTTATTTTGATGCTCCAGTGTTATTAGTAAGGGGTGTTTTGGACCACGTCCGCTTATGGCATTATTTATGGCTAATTAAGCTCCGAGGTAGGTATCCGGTATTCTCTAGGTGTACCACTCAGCCACACTAAAGTTTCCTCTAGGGAATGCGCATACCATTCAAAAGACAGTAAGGAGCCACTGATCAGGTGACCATAGCTAATCTGACACGTGTTTCGTTGTTTTGAGTTAATGGGAACAGATAAAAATCAGAAGTTAATTATAACATTTATTAAAGCGCAATTTTCAAAATATGGACGAACTGGTGTAAAATTACCCACAAGACAGGACCCAAGGGAGTGAAATTTGATAAAAATACTGAGGGGAAAACGATGAGAGCAGTGAGGCAATGATATGTGTATATCATCTGGTACCTTGGGTACATGTGCTAAACCTGATTATCTATGCAGGATTTGTGGGGCATAACCTGCTCCCTGCCCACATGGGTCAGATTGGGGTGCTGGGGGGAGACAGGGTCCGAGGTGCTGTTGAAGGCAGGGACACAAGGTAAGTAGACTAATGGGTCAGATCACAGTCACACACACACATCTCTGATCTTCATATGTTATTGCTGTGATAGGTATCTTCAGATCAATCTTAACCTTGAACTCAACCAGTAAATCTCGGGGAATTAAAGTCTCTGTCCTGGTATGGGATCGTCATAACAGTTGGAATAAATAAGTATTATAATTTAGATTTAATCTCAAAGGGAACATGTGTCTTTGTGTAGAGATGCTACAGATTGTGTCTGTATAGTCTGATTTTGTGTCTTAACATTTTAAAATAATGTGTTTCTTGTTTCAGACTGCCATGTGCTGCTTGTGTGTGGTCAGCCAATCAATGAACCTGTTGTCCAGTATGGGCCATTTGTGATGAATACACAGGCGGAAATTGACCAGGTATGTTCATCTTCGAGTACTAGAGCAAAGTTACTAGATGCTAGTTAGAAACTGAGAGAGGACATTCTACCTGTCTGTGTCTTCTGTTTCAGCATTTCTGTAATATACTTTAGATGGAAGGAAAGCTGGAAACGAAGGAGGGTATTGATGGTTATTTATTAATTGAAAGTATTTCATTAAAACTTATACTTATCTATTATTAAAACCTTTAGTACTGACCAATTGTCTCTTGCAGAATGTCTCAGTGTTATCTGCCCTTGTCCGTATCTCAGCATAAAATTAGACTTGTTCCTCTGTTGCCTCCTTTCTTATATGAATATTGTTGAGTGTAGCATTAAACAACAAATAAAAACTCAGTTTCTCACGTGTTTGTTCAGGCAATTGAGGACTACCGAGCGGGCAAGCTTGGTGAGATCCCAGGCAAGGAGGACAGGTTTCGGCAGACAGAGGCAGCTCAGGCTATGCAAAAGAAAAACAGCTCAGCAACATAAAGTGGCGGCCATTTTGTAACTCTGAAATACTCAATTGTTGTTTGCTTGTTATGAAAGATGGTTGCCTTAGTCTATTTTATTTCAGTGTTGTTTATATAAAAATATATATATGTATATATATTTGATGTTTTTAAATCTGTGAACCAACTTATTAACTACATATGTGAAGACTTTCTGCAACATGAAACAATGCATAACACGTGTAACTGGTAGTGGGTGTGGCCTAATCTTTTTTCAGCTCATGGAAATAATGACTCAAGTAGTAATAACTGCTTAGTGAACCAATGAGAAGCCTCAGAATCACTTGCAATTTATAACCTATTATTCATTATTCACCTTTTGATACAACTAAGAGAAGGAGAAAAACTTATTTGTTACAGACTTGTTGTGACATATATTATTACCAAATGTTGACCCTATATTTCCAATTTTATTTCTAAATAGGGTTTGATAATCACAAATGGGATTTGTTTTATTAAATATGTAAATAAAATTTATAAAAGCTACATTAACTTCCAAAGGAGAAACTCAAAAATGACATTAAAATATTTCTCAAACTGAACATTCGTGTAACTTGCTGTCATACCCAAAGTGGAATTTTAAATGAATTCGCTGAAAAATGACCCCCCCCAAAAGTCAGACTAAAATATTCCCAGAGATTAGAAACATATGCCCAATGTTAAAGATTAAAGTTGATTGGTTACATGCAGATATATGTCTAATGTTATTGTTTTGAAACTCGTAGCGATCTATAATTACATTTCCTAAAATTGTTGGAAGCGCACGTACAATCTCCATGGCAAGCCCGCAAGATTGTCAGAAATACCCTCAGTTGGACCCATGAGAGCTGTTATTTCAACAAACGCACGTGCATGTATTTGAATCTCTCACCGTCAATCACATGATTTTTATCAAAAACTGTACATTAGACAGCAAAATCCTGTTAGCTAAGTTCTTTTTACTTTCAATATGACTATATATACGTTTTATTTGGACTGGATAGTATGAAAGAAGTAGATCTTATTAACAATGTATTGAGACATCTTACATCTAACAATGTCTTGTTATTGAGACATCTTACATCTATGGGGACTGTGGATAGTATGAAGGAAGTAGATCTTGTTAACAATGTATTGAGACATCTTACATCTATGTGGATAGTATGAAGGAAGTAGATCTTACATTAACAATGTATTGAGACATCTTACATCTATGGGGACTATGGATAGTATGAAGTAGATCTTATTAACAATGTATTGAGACATCTTACATCTATGGGGACTGGGTATGAAGGAAGTAGATCTTGTTAACAATGTATTGAGACATCTTACATGGGGAAGGGATAGTAGATAGATCTTGTTAACAATGTATTGAGACATCTTACATCTATGGGGACTGTGGATAGTATGAAGGAAGTAGATCTTGTTAACAATGTATTGAGACATCTTACATCTATGGGGACTGTGGATAGTATGAAGGAAGTAGATCTTATTAACAATGTATTGAGACATCTTACATCTATGGGGACTGTGGATAGTATGAAGGAAGTAGATCTTATTAACAATGTATTGAGACATCTTACATCTATGGGGACTGTGGATAGTATGAAAGAAGTAGATCTTGTTAACAATGTATTGAGACATCTTACATCTATGGGGACTGTGGATAGTATGAAAGAAGTAGATCTTGTTAACAATGTATTGAGACATCTTACATCTATGGGGACTGTGGATAGTATGAAAGAAGTAGATCTTGTTAACAATGTATTGAGACATCTTACATCTATGGGGACTGTGGATAGTATGAAAGAAGTAGATCTTGTTAACAATGTATTGAGACATCTTACATCTATGAGGGGGACTGTGGATAGTATGAAGAAGTAGAAGTAGACATCTATGGGGACTCTCTTGTTAACAATGTATTGAGACATCTTACATCTATGGGGACTGTGGATAGTATGAAGGAAGTAGATCTTGTTAACAATGTATTGAGACATCTTACATCTATGGGGACTGTGGATAGTATGAAGGAAGTAGATCTTGTTAAAATGTATTGAGACATCTTACATCTATGGGGACTGTGGATAGTATGAAAGAAGTAGATCTTGTTAACAATGTATTGAGACATCTTACATCTATGGGGACTGTGGATAGTATGAAAGAAGTAGATCTTGTTAACAATGTATTGAGACATCTTACATCTATGGGAACTGTGGATAGTATGAAAGAAGTAGATCTTGTTAACAATGTATTGAGACACGTGGTCTCTGCCAAAGTGAAATTGGTGATGTTGCATTAAGTCTTCGCATGTAATCAAGCACAGGACTTACCTCACACAGCAGCTCCTGTGTTCAAGGTCATATTCTGTGTCAGACTGTTCCAGGCTGTTGGTCATGTGGAATAGCATGTTATTTACATTTGTCATGATTTACTGATGTACTGATGCATCGATACACTGTGACTTTACACTTGAGAATATGATACGTGATACACCTAATTATGTATCAAGTCATTGTTTATTCCTTTATCAAATTAGAATTGGGTTATTGTTAGAAGGTTTGTCTTTTACGTTTTCTGAATAGTTACAGGCAATCATATACCCTTCTATGCTGCCTTTTTCTGTGAGAATGTTTTTTATTTACATCAGAAAAATGGACTGTGAAGTATATTTACAGAGTAGTCTAGAAGTTGACACAGGGTGCTAAATATAGGAAATTTGGTATCGCAGTTGCTATATGTCTCTTTTGTGGGTGGTGCCTTTATCAGAATCATTCTAAGAAACTTCTAAGATTACAAATTTGTATTATACTTTTCTATTACAAATTTAGATCTATAATATTTATTTACTTTGTTCATGGCTGATAAAGCATGTGTGTCGAGTTTTAACCCCAATATTTTATAGTATTATGGAAATATATTGATTGGTTTTTCATAAGAAAGAACCCAATTGAAAGAACAATTCAAAAAGAAAAATTACCCGTAAAAACGACCTTCCAGGAATCTGACACGATGGCAAAGGGGGCCCAACAAAACTGTTTGGAAGATTGTTGAGAATATATTAGATGTACTACAGATGGTACGCAATTGACATGTCCACCCCAGTACACATCAAGCAATGTGTACGCTCAAGTGTTTGTGTCACATACCCCCATATCTGTGGTAAGAAGTATCACCTTGGTCAAGGCTTATCATTACAGGGTATGACCTTCAGCACTGTAATAGTGTATCTGTACAATAATGTCATTATTCTATGCCACATGTGTTCCTTTGTTTTGTTTACCTGTAAACGTAAACAAGTTATTTGATCAGTTGATGACCAGCAAATAGCTAGTAGCACATATATTTTTGACAGGGACTAAATCTAGTGTATACTGTGTTGTGTATACATCGGATAACAGGGTTAACTGTTCAACGAAATGTTGATCTCTACGTTTCTACTTTTACAACGTAACACCAGTTTCTAGTAGATGAATTTGAGAAAGGTTTTATAATGATTGACAATGATCTATTTTTGCAGATTGTCAAAACTTTTTCACACAAAACATTATTATATTTCTACCTCTCAGAATCTGTTCATCAGTCAGACATGAAAGTGATATTCTTGTAAATATTTAATTTCGGTTGTAACAATGTGCTCTATTGTGATTTTAGTGAAGTCGAATATTCGCGTTCATGCTGATTGGATGTTTCATGAAGTTATATGTAGTTTTTAAAATGTAGTACCAGCAAGTAGATTCATTCCTGACTGGTTGATAGGGAGATTAGCTAGATAACTGATGGTTGATATACCGTTGGCCATATGAGTTTGTGTTTTAACATCCTCAGCAGGTTCCTGTGCTTCTTCAGAGTCTTGCTGAGGTATACTGATAGGTATATGTGAAAAGGAATAGGTCACCAACAATCTGTCGTTGGTATGAGATGATTCACTTAACTATTATATTAGATGGCTGAAATGTTTGTACAGTGCCTCTTTACGCAAGAATGCACTTGAGCACACACACACTCAGAGATGCACAGACAGACAGACACACACACGAAAAAAGAAGGACACACACAGATGCACAGGGACACACACACACACACACACACAGATTGATGGACAGACACAGGGAGGTGGAGCAGCCCAGTGATTAAAGCATTCGCTCGTTATGCCAAAGACCTGAGTTCGATTCCCCACATGGGTACCATGTGTGAAGCCCATTTCTGGTGTCCCCCACCTTCATATTGCTGGAATATTGCTAAAAGCGGTGTAAAATCAAACTCAGTCATTCATTCACTCACTCACAGACAGACACACACACAGGGAGATGCACAGGCACACACACAGGTGCACAGATAGACAGACACAGAAAGACAGACACATGCACAGACACACAGATGCACAGACAGATGGACAGAGAGAGAGATGCACAGACAGACACACACACAGATGCACAGACAAATTGACATATATACAGAGGGACACACACACAGATGTACAGACAGACACACAGATGTACAGACAAACACGCAACCATGAGTTGTTTTCAGTAGGTAATGTCTGTCTCTAGTGTGAAGTAGCTTTTATGAACAGCACAAGACAAAACTGGGTCAAGTGTATACAGGATGAGCACCTCACTTGAGGAGTTACTTGTCTATTGTGTGATGACGTTCAGTGTGGACTGAGATGGGAAGGGAAGTAACTCTTGTCTATTGAATACTGTGATGACGTTCAGTGTGGACTGAGATGGGAAGGGAAGTAACTCTTAAGTTACTTGTCTATTGTGTGATGACGTTCAGTGTGGACTGAGATGGGAAGGGAAGTAACTCTTGAGTTACTTGTCTATTGAATACTGAGATGACGTTCAGTGTGGCCTGAGATGGGAAGGGAAGTAACTCTTGTTATCCAAAGAATTCCCCAAGCCACATCTTGTTTTCATTATTTTCTTTTCACCCAGCATACCTTACTAGTACGGGATATTTTCGTTATTCACTAAAATTATTTTGACATCCAACAATATAGATTTAAACCAAGTAATAAAGGCCTTACAAGCACCTTCTCATACCTGATCATTATTGCCTCTAGTTTCCTGTTCTACCTCACTCCTTAAGTTACATGTCATCTAAGTTTTCATACTTCTCACATTGTTATATTCACCATTTTTATTGAATAACAATACCATCCGATTTTGGCTCTGTATTCTTCCAGCGTGTAACTTCCCAAACATAATATTAGCCAGAAAACTGTTTAAGAGTTCATTACACAAACCCAGAAGGATATTTATACTGAGACATCATGCAAGAAAGGCTGTTTAGTGCTTTCGGATTCTTGGAGATTAGATTTTTACGAGTTAATAACCATAATGACTGATTGGTATATAGTAACTTTGATGTATTGATTGTTTTGGTGGGGTAGTCTTGCTTTACCAAAGGCCTGGGTTAGGTCCCCAACATTGGTACAGTGTGTGACCCTCCTTACTTGTGTCCACACTGTGTTAAATGCTGGAATAATTAAATAGAACCATACTCAGTCACTCACTCACTTGATCATTAGACTTTTTAATGAAAGGAAGTTGAAACTACAATGAATAATCGTTTGGTCAGTTTTGACTTATTTGTTGTTTATGCCCTTGTTTATTTATTGTT